GTAAAGGGGTATATTAGAAATCGATATCAAAAAAAATGATTTCCTGCCCTTTAAGAGGGCGCCCACTGTTTGGCGTAGTGAAATTTTAAATGTAGAAGTAACAACCTGTTAACGACGCATATATATAACTACTTGACATTTCTACAAATATAGCTTAACTTTAGTTTAAAACGGTTGAAGGAAACGGTTATGATTTCTTAGTATGTATGTCATTAATTATGCAAAGTTATTATTCGTTTTGTGGACTCATAAAAGATAATCTATGTAACAGGATTAAAACAAAAAGCTAGCTTTGCCCTGTATTTTTCCGCGGTGTGAAGTGAGGGGCAGATCATTCACAGCACTATACACTAAATTTTAAGGCCTATCCTCTAGATGTGCAAATTGCAGTTGGGTACACACGGCACACTACCGCCGCTGCATACTTTACCAGTTAAGGCCTAGCAACACTAAATTAAATGGACTTATCACGCAGAAAAAGCCCATTACTTTTTTTGAAGAACTCAACGATCTCGTACGCCGCTTGTTGGCCACCAAGACAACTCCTCAACAATCTCAGCCACCACAACTGTAGTAGATTGCAACATAGGGTAAACACTTGCTATCCTGACAACAAATTTTTCATTGAGGTTTAAGACGTCACGTGCTCAATATCCGTTTTTTGATGTAAGTAGGGTTGTGGCAAGTAGATAGCATGTTAAGCAGGAACTATGAGTACGAGGTTAATACGATGCAAAGGACAGACCTGTTGTTATTAGCGAGACTCACTTATTCCCGGCGTCCATATATTCTGCAACACCTTGGACTTTCCTTAGCTACTCTGGCAAGAGGTGATATTCCACTTAATATGACTTCTCTGCTAGCTCTGCAAGCCGTTGACGCAGTTAAAATTTTCCCTGCTTATCAGTCAGAGGGCTGTGTCGATAATGACATTTTAAGGTCCTGCCCTCTCATAATACCAACAACTAAAAAGGAAACTAAAGTAAACGGGGTTTAAGTTTATTGCAGGCAATCAAGCTATCTCTATGCCTTTATGAAATATTATGTTTTATAGATGTGTATTTGTTTAGATTATTTTCAAGACCTGCATAGGTTGAATTTTGTTCCATTTAAAAGACAAGTTTAACCCTACAGTCGTCGCACTTCTTATTTAGACATTAGCAGTCGCAGTAGAGTTCTCAGATTCCTTGAGTTTTAAATTTTTTACTTCTATATTAAATAAAAAATACCTTAAATTTTTTTTCACATTCATTGTTTATTGAAATATTAGGATAAAGGTCACACTAAACTTTAACTTCTATCTAATTTGAAAATTTAGAAAACAATAATTTCCAGATCTGTGAGACCCCCTGCGTATTGTAGGTTTAAAACAATAGTTGGATAAAATACTGCCCAAAAATGTTTAAAAAGATACTTTCCTTCAAAATAATTAGTTGATAATGTATATGATTGATTTATCTATAAATAGATAATTCTTTAAGGTTAATTATTTATTCGTGTTAGCGTTATTTGTTTTTTTGCGTACATTTCTTGATACCCTCTTATAGACAACCAATTGGTCGTTTTAAGTGGGGACCTTAACTGGAAGCATTTCGCTCGTAAGACAAACCTTAGAAAGTTACGAGTAAGTGCACGAACTGCGAAGGCCACAGTACTCAATGCGCATTGCGAAGACGGGCACATTCGACGTGATGGATCCGCTGTTTAACAATATTCATCTTCCGACAACTGTTGAGGTTTCTACAATCATTCGTTGGAGTATTTGCTACTCCTTGCATGCTGGGCATCGGAAACACCAAGGATTTTCACTAGGCATTTGCAAACTCGGCTAAAATAGCTAAGTCTTTTGAAATGACATCCTTAAAGTCTCCAGCGCTGTCGATGAAACCTCTTTTTAACCCTCACTGTCGCCGGGTTTGAAGGCGCAGTGACCATGGCTTGTCACACCGTCACCAGCTGCCTGATGAGCTGTAGGTCCCTTTCTTCGGAAATCGGTTTATTACAGTACCCACACAAACAGAATACCATAAAATAACAAATTAGCGCTTAATCCACCTTATTGCGCACTAGGAAAGAGCTATTGTCATACTCCTACTGCCAGTGAAAGCTAAATGCCAAGTCACATCATGGAGGCTGACGACGATGGTCGCGTGTTCTTCTAGCAGTTCACTCAGGATTATAGTAACCACGCGCGCACGGCAACTTTAAGGTAAAAGGCGATATTACCGAAGCGACACTTTTTGCTGATCACCTCGCTGCACAGTGTATCCACCTGCACCTTTAGTTGCAATAAAAGAATTCTTTATTAATACCGAAGAGCAGATTGAGCTGGCCATTACCATCGAGATTAAAAAGATCGATAACACACTATCTAATGAAAGACATGTAGCCTCGACGACAGCAGCAATATATGATGCTGAAGCAAATAACAATGGTGGCGATGTCGATGGATCTTTTTCTGACACTTCATCTCAACGCCAACCCTCAGTCACTACCGTTGCGATGTTCCAGAAAACAGTGCGGCTGGACTTTTGGCCACATATAACGATCTATCAGCCAAAGTGTTTGTTGCCACTCATGCCCTGCCGGTATTCCGGTTTGGATTTTGTTAAAGTATTTAATATTATAATAATCCCTTTGTTTGATTAAATTAAAAACGCGTGCCTTCAATTTTATGGTCAATCAGCGCCGTCATTCGTGACATTGAAAAAGCGTTTGACAAGGTTCGACACAAGGGTTACTCGCAAATTACGAGCCATAATTCTCTATCGTGTTTTTCAACATGCAAAAATTTTAACTTGAGAGCGGCCTCTTTCTAATATACGTTTACGATACATACACTATATTTACAAAGCTTTAGTAACAAATAATATGACTTGCAACCGCGGAACTATCATTCTATTTCTTTAGTAAAAGTTTTTAGTAAAATTCTTAAATTTCTTAATTAAAGTGTGTTTAATGAAGAGATCATGATACTTAAAAAAGCACTAAATTCATTTTATTCTTTGACTTTGGAATGTCAATACTACTACTAATAATTGCCATTATAGAGGTTATTTTTTAACAAAAGGAACAAACTGAAAGTAATCTTACTTTTGCGTATAAGGTTATATAAATTGGTACTAAAGTGTTTGGTAATTATAATACTCACTGTAAAATATTAAAAGTGGTGCTTTCACGAAGCTCCGGTTACTCTTGTCCTTTGCATTTCATGTGCACAGTGTGCCACAACTCGTTTACCTTCACACAGGGATCATCTTCTACGCAGGTGATACAGCGATTTACTCCTCGTAAAAGTCGCCGGCCTTATTGCGCTAGCATCTGCAGGGCTGTTAAGTCATGCCCGCCATCAGGTGTTGTTGTCGAAGAATTATTTATAACGAAGAAACGAAACTCAATCCGTCACCACTTTCGCTAACTTACTACGTGTACCCGGCGGAAATGTTTGGAGGGCATCATTATCATTAAGTCCTCATGGTGACCGCACGTAAAGTATCTAGTGGCAAAGGTCTAAGTGGCGACTTAAACTTAGTACCCTTTATTGGCGCCAAAAGCAAACTTTTATTGCGCAACAAAGCGACGCTTGTGTGCATAGTGTATTAGGCCAATCATGACACACGCATCTGTGCCCAAAACTACGAACTCGTCGGCAATAGTGTCCTCGCTTCAAACAAACCGCTATGCGTTACGAAGAGGTTCGTGGTTGTGCGAATAATGCTTTTTTTTAGTCCTTCAGCCTGTGCCTCTGGCTACTGTCATTCAACGTAATGCTATAACCAAAACGGCTTACCAAACAAGAAGAGTTTAGTTGTTAGCCTGAAGGCGAACGCCAGGCACTTTAATTCAGGTAGTATTTAATGCGGTAATCGCTTCAATTTCAAGCTTAAATTTTTTATTATATCCAGTTCATATTTTGCTACTATTATAATAATATCTTTACAACTACAACTTTAAAACTACTAATAGCTCCTAGGTTTGTTTTTGTTAAAGCGCCACGAAATCTAAGAACCCTCGACATTGATTAATTCTTCTTTAACACTGAGCTACAGTGACAATTCACACTTTTGGGTTGTTAGATCTTTTTTTCCATCTCCTCTTTAGGGCAGGAAATCATTCATTAAGTTTTTAAATACTAACACATCCCTTAACTTTTTGAATGATTTCATTTTAACTTCCATTACATAATGTTCAATTTATAATTCATTATTCTTTACCCCAAATATAGTAAATTAACCTTTATTGGGGGGTGGTCAGACTAGAATTATTTTAATGTAATGAAAGTTATAAGGCAGTCACTTAATAAGGTAGGGGGGTGTGTAGAACTCGATACCTTAGTGATCCTTCTGCAGGACCTTGCTGCTCACTTAAACTTATCAGGCGACCATAAAAGTATGTAATAAGCTATTGTGGATGTTATCTAACACTTAATAATGTATTACAAAAGCTCAATTCCATAGGAGTTAATATACAAAACTAGTAAGAGGGTACGTTAATAAATTCCCTTGGCAGGATATTGAAAATAACAACTCCACGCTAAGATTTTTAACTACATGAAGCAGAGAGCTGCGCCAAGCGCCCTAGACAACTAGTGCTCTTGGTATTAACAGCAATTTAGTAACCATTTGTATGGGTAACTAAAGTTGAAGCCTTAAAACATTTTATATTCTAACTTATTTAATCAAATAATATAAAAAGGGGGCGGTCACTAATACTTCATGAACTTATAAAAAGTTTAGAAACGACGTGAACAGCAAAAAGGGTCCCTTCTACGGTCTTTTGCCATCTAACAACTGTTACATTGGATCCCAAGGGGCATTACTATTATCTTTTTTGAAGAATAGATTGCCTTCAATTCTTTTAGACATAAAAAGATGTTACCGTTCTTATATAAATTTAGCTAATGCAGTAAGGCAACTAAAATGAGTTAAAAAATAACACAAAACCTTTAAAAAAAAAAGTTTCACTCGGCAATACTAGGGATTATAATACTTTATTAGTGCTATTGCAGTTAAAGGATTTATTTAGCGCTCATTCTCTTGACAAAGTCAACATAATATATGTTGCCATCTCCCTTAGTATCAGCTTCTCTTATTAAGGCATCTGCTTCCTCATCAGAAAGTTTTTCACCTGTTATAGATAGAGTTTTATCTTTACTAACAGAGCAAACAACTAAAACGTGAATAGTTTACCTAAAGAGATCAATATATGACGAAGTTCTTCAGCACCAATATAACCAGTCATGTTTTTATCAAAAACTTTAAAAGCTTCAATAACATCTTGGTCGGAATCTCCTTCATTCATCTTTTTTGCCATAGAAATTAAAAATCTAGGGAAGTCTATGGTTCCTTTACCGCTGGGATCAACTTCGTGGATTATCTCTTGAAGTTCTTCTTCTGTAGGATTTTGACCAAGAGAACGCATAACGGTACCTAAAATATTAAAAAGTTTATGAAACTATGAATTTACTTTTATTTACTTATAGCTAACTATAAATTTTTAAAAAACAAAATTTGCAACAAACTCAACCTAACTCTTTAGTGGTAATCGTATCGTTATGATCACGGTCGAGAAGAGAAAAAGCCTCTTTAAATTCGGCAATTTGTTCTTCTGTAAGCTCTGAAGACATTTGAAGCCAAAATCAGTTTTTAAAAATCAACAAATCCCCGATCTACTCAAAGTAACTTTTTTTAAGCATTAAACTTCAATTTGACCTGCAATATCCAATGACCATCCTCATCATCTCTAAAGTCGCTAATTAATATTAGCATCTTCTTGTTTGACTTCGTTAAGAAACTTTAATTTTACTATTAAAATTACTTTTAAAAAATTATATTGCGCCTAACTTAATTGTTTATTTACTTAATCGTTTCGTTTATATTAATGGTCTACTATAGTCATCAATCCGCTGTAGAAGTTATTTATTTTTTTACTCGCACCATTTTGCTTGCAATTAAATTTAGTAGCAAACTTCGGATTTTTTTACAATATATTTAAATCTCCCTGGTGGCAAACCCGGTTTAGCTACCTGTATTCTGCGTTTTAGTAAGATATATCTACAACCTATTGTGTTAACCATCTACTATACTTGTGTGGTCGCAGTGTCTGTCCTATTTTGACCTTTTCTTAAATTAACGAATATTTTTTTTAAATGTTTGTCGGATTCAGGCTACTCGATTTAAGAATATCAGCAAGCGCTTATATTTAAAGGTTACAGAACTTAGAGAGAAGGAGTCTAAAATCTCTTACGTACAGGCTTTAAAAAGGACCCATCACCCACTCAACCAAGCTTAAAGCATCCAAAGCTTGTTACTAAAGAGCATTACGTTACAAATATAATATTCTTTTTTTAGTTGTTGAGATGGTCTTTGACAACGAAATGGCACGAATAAGTGATGTATCCCCTTGTATTTTATATGATATATCGAGCTTTTGGTAAAATTAAAATCTTTAGGTTAAAAATAGCGTCCCTAGACTCCAAGTCATACTACCCTACAGTTGGTATACCTCAAAGCTTCTTTAGTCTTTTATGTTATTTTCTATGTTAAGCTCAGACAATCCCATAGGCGAAAATGCCCCCTCGAGGACTGCGCTAAAAAGATAGCACTAATATATTATAGTGCTATCATTAATTTGACAAAAAACAAAATTTCTAGTGGCAGGCTTACAAAAAAAAAGTGATACCAATACAGGTTATTAAATTACAATCAAATAATATTTAATGGTGAAAAAAAATTAATAAAAAATTAAGAAACCACAAAATAGATAGGTTTTTATTCTCTTTTTATAAACGCTGGAATACTACGGACAGTACTAAGAAGCGCTTTAAACCGCTCAAGTTGTAGTCTAGAGAATTCGGGATACGAATGCCACTTGCGCATAGACTATGGAGATAACCGCTTTAGGGGCTGAAAACTAACAACTAACAATTAAAACCAAATTCTTGGCATATGACCGTTGGTAAAACCGTTAAATAACATTACCGAGAGAAGCGGCCACAAGTAGGAGACCCGGAGATCCCTAAAGACTGGTCAACAAGAATGCTAGGCAGGCCTCCCAACTACAAGTATCACCTAGAGGGAAAACCCTCCAAAATTCTGCTCATAAAATAGTTGCATTACAATTATTTTATTTTCATAATTGATCTAAGATTTATTAAAATTAAGTGTTTCTTTTTGTAATTAACTGTTTAAATTAGATTTCTTTATTAAATCACATTATAATTATTTTAAATATACGATGATGTTGCTAGTCGGTTAGTACCCGGTTTAGCATTAATAAGTATATTTTTTTTGTGCTGATAGTGCTGTTATAAATATGGTCATTAATTTTTCTTTGTAGTTCCTGCATTGTAATGATAGGTGTCAATGTGTCATGCATTACCTTCGGCCCTTGTTTAGGCCTTGCTTACACTGCTTCCTTATCAGTATATATGCGTATATCTACGTTGTATTTGAATTTTCAACTGCTTTTCTTCATTTGCGCTATTTTAGAAGTAATATAGTGAGCGATCGCAGTATATTTTGAATTTTACTTCCATCTCTCTAACACTTCCAATATTATCGGTTGTTATAAAGTAATAATGCTAATCTATTGATCTTTTGTACTCGTACTTGAGTGTTTATGACCCCTTCGTTAAGCAATTATATACAATAATAGTTGGTCGCTGTCTGGGTGTTTTGTGAAAAACAAGTAAGCATTAGGCCATTTGTAGGTGATTATCTTTATTGCATTTGTGAAGTGGAATTCGCTATAGCGGGCTTACGTTTTCTTTTACATTTTGGCAATGATTTCGTCAGGCTTGAGAAGTCTTGCTGTTAGCTATATTCTCATTCTCTGGGGCTTGAGATTTTTGTAGGTAAGTATAGCGTACTTGTATGGCATTTGAATTTTTTTTGGCTTCTTTTGGGCTGACCTTTTTATCAATATTAACACTTCATGGGTTTATCAACTCGAAGTTTTTCCTTAATATATTTTTTTGTGAGTCATTGAAAAATAATACGACAGTTACAAATTTTCCAACTATGGCAACTAAGCCATACTACATAAGCCTACAAAAGAACTCGTTAAAAAGAACGTACCGTGCCGAAAATTTCCTCATTTATTTCAAAAATGTACCTTCTTTACTTTCGTATTTTATAAGTTAGTAAAAAAAAAATTTTGTGTGCTGTGTCTCATTAACTTTAAGGATAATAACCCTTAAAAGCCGAATATATTGATTTTGTGTGTAAAAAGGCAGTAGAGATCTTGGTTGAAGCAATAAGCATGTTATCTTATTACCCTAAAGGCCCCTCGAGAATATTTTCATACTAATTTTTTTAATAGCAAAATCCACTTGATGTTAACCTAGCCTTGAATTGTTCAATATTTTTTTAGTGTAACCCTAAGATTACAGTGAGGATTTTTTTTTATTAAAGGAACTCAATATAAGTAATATCAAAAATTCCAGTATATTTAGAAAAGGGTAAACCATTTTTGCTGCGTCCCTGTATAAATGGCTCTCTGTCATATTTTAACCTCCTCGAGGTGGGTGTCCACTTTTAGGCTGAATGGAAAATCTTAAAAATGTTGATTACGTGATTACTAGTATGGGGGCGTCCCAAACAAATTTTGTTATTTTAGTAGTTTATTTAATTTATACATTTTTTATAAATAATACTTTCACTGTAAATATTGATAATAATATTTAAATTTTTATATAAAAAGTTGAAAGTTTATTTTTGAATTACCAGGGTTTATTTAATATATTATTTATTACCTTTAACTTTTTAATAAATTTTTATTATATATAATAAATAAAATTCTCTATTTTATTAAAAACTTTATTTTATAATATTTTGTTTAATTATTATTAAAATTTGCTTAACTTTTTTCATTATTTAATATTATAGGCTGCGACCCTTCCCCCCCTCACGACAGTAAGTTAATTTTTTTTCTTTCCGGTAGCCTAATTTAGTTCTCAAGAAAATAGTAATAGGTAATATGGTTGCCAATCCCAATTAGTATGTTTATGGATATCATATTTTTTAATAGTAGAAATTTCGACTGCTGATTGTAACATAATCGTATTCCATACGTGGTTTCGTGTTCCATAGTAGTGTATCGACATAAAATAGTTGATCAAGAAGTTCGTGTAAACGTAACTAAGATATAGTCTACAATTTTCTTTCTTATTTTACAAAGTTGACAGAGGCCAATGAATTGCAACTAAGGAATCTTACTTAAATACTTATCTGTTTGATATAATTATAATTAAGGTTACCAAATAATTAGTGTTTATTAATTATTTAGAAAACAAATAAAATGTTAATTTAACGATATAGTCAAAGGGCACTATATACGGTATTTCCTTTCTGTTGGGTGCTCTTCTTAGTTGGCAAGAAGATACAATCAGTTAAAATTTTCTACAGCTTCTAACTCTCCAACGGAATTTGAAAAGTAGAACAATTTTTACAAGAATAGGGAACAAGGTCTAATTTTTGTTTGATATGTAATTAATAAATTTGAAGAAAACTTTTTGCTGGTGTCGTGAGGATCATAGGGAGATTTACAGGTTAAAATATCTTTAGACCCGTTTAAAAATTTTTTTTTTTGACTATCTAAAAAGATGTTTTCTCGTTATCTATTACATTAAAAACAACAATACTCAATGGTTAAAATGGTATCCTTAAAAATTTTTTGTAAAATTTTTATAAAAATAAAAATCCTTAAGTAATTACAAAGCGATTTATAACCTGCGGGATAGGCCCCTAATAAGATTTTTCAATGTATCTGGCAGGATGAGCACTGTTCCCGGCAGTGTAATATATAATTATAGTCTCTGTTTAATGACTCTGCAGACGATATATGGATTTTTTAAAAAATTAAACATAAAAAGTTAATGAAATTATCTTTATTAATACCTAGCGTTCGGTTTAGCTCAGTGCATAGGACATGATTAACGAATCCGTTGATGAAAATTATAGTTTTACCTATTAGCAACGTAACATATATATAACGTTTGTAAAACAATGTATAGAGATTGAAGTGATTAATTTCAAGTCTTACATAGTATGCTAACACAGAGTAGCCAAAGCTGATGCTGCCGAATTTAACATAGGAATTCCCTGCAACTGTAAAGTTTATCTTTAAAAATGAAGGCATTCATAACGCTTCCTAGTAGTTACCTAACTTGTGTACTCTTATAACGGATTAACCGCAACTAACTTGGGGCCTCCTCTCTTGAAGTTGCGTTTAATTTCGACAGTAACTAAAAAAATGCTTGTTCTTTTTTAGCTTCTGTTATATGTAGTTGAGGGTTGACCATCTGAGGGCACAATCCTAATTAAACATTTAAAGGATTTCGTGAGCGTCGCGCTCTTAATTATTTTTTTTGTTGTTGTGTTAAGGGTTTGTTGAGTGGTTTATTGTTGTGTTACTCAGGCGGCTCGAGAGCAATTAAATAAATTATTATAGCTTTTTTTAATTTGTAATTAACTCTAGGTTATATTTTCTTGTAATATCATATAATATTACCTCTCTTTTGCTAATCATAAACTAGATCTTGAAGTTATCAAGTTTTTAAGATCCCCACTTCAATAAATTATTTTAAAGAGTAATCTCTTTTGGGTTATTAATATTTAGATGTTTAATATCTAGAAGACAATAATTTAACTCTACTCTAATAAAATTTTATACGTTCGAAGTTTGAGTGTAGTTAATTTTGCAATTTCTTACAGGGTACGGGCTAATTGTAGTATGCTACTAACCCTAAAAAAGTTTTTAAATGACCTTTCTTGTGAATCTAAGCATAGCATAAAATAGCTCAAAGCTTTTTTTATTATATTATAATCCCGTTTACAAGCTTGATATCTCAAGGAGCTCTAAGTACTCTTGGTTAAGTTTATAAATATAAATAGAATTTGCAACTTTTCTTTTTGTGAAACTCAGGAAAGGGCCTTACGATGGGTCATAACACAATCTTCATTAAAGGTTTTTAAAAAAACAGCTAGGTCTTGGTTTAGGTCAGTAATAATAATATTGGTTGATTAATTTACTTTCTTTTATAACCTAGACCTCAAAGAACTTCTTAATATTACTAAAGATAATTTATTTGTAAATTTCTATTGGTGGACGAAACTGTTTATATATAATGTATAGTTTTTTTTTCTCTTTAGTTAGCTAGAGTCTATTAAAAATTCCTTTTTATTTTAATATTTTGGGGCAATACAGGGCTTGGGGCCAAATTGATTAACTTTTTAAATTCTTCAAAAAAAACTTGCCTCTAGGGATAAGGTCATGTTAAGTATAATTGGTTCAGTTAAATTCGATAGGAGTATTTTTAAAGATAGAAATAATTTTGTCTTTTACAATAGGATTTCCAATCACGTAAACTATATAAAAGTAAGTATATATAAAAATCTTAATTGTAAAGTTTAACCTTTTCTAAAAATGTAGTTCACACACTCAGGTAAGAATTATAGCATAACGCTAGTTGTTTATATAATAAATTTCGTGTAAACCTGTATTTTTTTTAAATTTCTTTAATGTCTTATTGTCGCCAAAAATCCTGTTGAACACACTCAATTTAATTTGGCGACTCTATTTAATATTTTTATAACTTTCGGATTATAACCTTTCCCATATTAAAAAGTTTATGTTATCAATTTTTAAAGTATTTGTATTTTTATTGTTTTACTGCGCTCGTTTCATGCATAATCTTGCTAATTAATATTCTATCTTCTATATTGATTGAATACGCAAAGATAGTGCTAACAATCGTGTTCCTTAAAATTATTTCTCGATATTAAAGGCATAATATACCATGTATTTTTTTTATAAATTGAGAAAAAGAAGTGCGTATTGTGGTCGCTTTTATTAAGGGGCTGCACTGCTTTTGTCGTAACTACCAGTACTTTTGTATTATTCATTGCATCTATGCAACAGTGCTAGTGTTTCAAAACAGTAAATCCTTAGAAAAATAAGAGTATTTCTTTTTCTTTAACTTATGGAGCTTCAGATAACGATGTAGCTCTGATCTAAACCAAAATCATGGAGAAATAAGCAAATAGTTTGGTTCAATCTGCAGTCTTAAAAGTAACTTTTTTGTGACCATAATTCCATGAGGTTAAAAAGTACACTATTGTCGGGCCAAGTTAACGCTTTATAAATATTAATATAGTAGTTTTATCAAAAACGACTTTTTCTGTGTAGATATGCGTGCGACCTCCCAGTTTGTTTTGCTTTATAAATAGTGTAGTTGCTATATTTATAAAATTTTAGTTCTGTATATATTAGTATCCCATAATACTTTCAAAAACACCAGAGTTCGGGCATTGTGAAAAGTCAAACTTGCAGGTCAAGAGACATGGAGGCTAGAACCAAGAACTAGGTTTTGTAGTGCGCCTGAGCACAAGTCACCTGTGAAAGGTAAGGACAACTTTTCTATAAGATAGTGAAGCTGTATGAGGGCACCACGTTAATGAGTAACTGTAGGTAAGGAATGAGATGATGTGCTCGTTGCGCTCTTTTCTTTTTACTTTACATTTTTAGTGTTTGTTAGGTGACGGGTAGTGTGTTCATGAAGGCTCAAAAAGCTATCAAATGGTTGATCCTATAGGTTTAAAAATTCATGAACTAATCTATTATAAACAGTGATATAATTAGAAGCATTGTAATGAATTGATTGATAGCTCTTGAGCCGGCTGACAAGAACCACACCCGCCACCCAAAAAACAGTAAAAAACAAAAATTAAAAAAGTAAGAGCACCACACGCACATAATTCCAACCTTTACTTATAGTTATCAATTAAATGATCTATAGTCATCTTAACTGCACATAACAATAGACCAAATTATAAGTTCACAGCTAGAATTTGATACTAAAGAGCCGTCATCCTATACAGTGATTAAGTGTATTTACTTGGAACTAAACTTTAAGAAAACGAATTCACAAAGTGCTGCTTTACTGCATATCTCATTTAAAGTTATTGCACTACCGATGTTCCATTCTATTTAAATTTGGTTAAAACACTTTAGTTTTTTAATTAAGTTCACAAATTATTTATACTTTTCGAGGCTCGCTTTAATAGTTTATAAGTGTGCGAATAACTCCACTCGCGAAAGCTATTCAGGGATGCTGGTGAGGAGTAATTTTACCAGTTTTTTCTCTCTTCAATAACATAAGAGCTTTAGGCGCCACGGTTTAACTTTGAGAGCACCCGCAGAGAGAGCTAGAATTAACAAACGAGGTATCATGTTTGAAGCCTTTTAATATCAGTAAGATCAGATCTGAAGCTTTAAGGTACTTGAATTCACTCGTTGCATACTCAACAATATGGAAGGAGCAATGGAATGATTTTTACTAAATTCTAATCTCTCAACGGAGGAAATATAGGACCCAGCGGAAAACTCGAGCTACCAACGGCTTTTTATGTTATAAGATCAGGTCTTTTGGCTCGTGGATTGCCTATTATCGCCCTGCAGAGTACTAGGTAACCCTCAGTTTAAAGCCGGAATGGAGAATTTACTATTTATAGCGTGGCAAGTATAATGGTAAAACAGCTTCCAAAAAAAAATTCCAATAAAGTAAACAAAATAATAGGGGTACAACTCGTAAAGGTGGTGATACTGTAAAACTAATTTTATCGCAGCCAAGTTCCAACGGTCGAGAAAGACTAAATCACAGAGCTAGATTTATATTAGTTAAAATTTATGTCAGACCTGGCTAGACACTTGATGTTAGAAATTTCATGAAAACTTGGATTTATTTTAAAGTTTAGCTTTAAGATAATACCGTTTACTTCATCAAAGGTTACATGTGCCAAAAATCTTTTGAGTAATATACTGTAAGGTAACCACACTTGTCATAGTAGGGCTACCTTGATTCTTCCTGATGGAAATAAAATTTGTAGATAAACAGTTTGTATGATTCAGTTTTTGAATATATTAATGTTAAATTGTGGTCTATCCTAAGAAACGAGTCCTGTAACCTATCTCTTTAAAAATATTGAGCAGACAGCAGAAGCTCTGGCCTTTCTTTAACGCCATTTCCGCTTAATATTATCTTAAGGATGGATGCATACATTACTTTCTTATTTAGCTTGTAGAGAAGGGTTTTATAAAAAGTATAAGGTTTTGTAGTTTTTCATAGACGGATTTTTAAGAATAAGCGTCAAGATGAAAGATTGCGTTAAGCTCTTTACCTTTACTTTTAAAATTATAATAGTATTATCAATATTCTTAAATGGGAAATATAGTAAATTACGATCCCTTTCAGCTTGACTCGTAAGGAAACTTACTGCAGTTATATAAGGTATGCATGCATAATATAATACTAGGCTACAATAAACTTATAAACTTTACTGCTTTTAAAGTAGTTTAATGGCGCGTTACTGCAATCCAAACCATTATATCTTTTTACCAGTGTATTCATAATGTAAAAATAACTGTTCCGACCACAAAACCTAAAAAATATCTTTTCTTTAAAAACTGACCACGTAAAAGATTTCAACTTTTTGCGAGGCCGTCACTACTACTGTATACGTCAGTATTATGCGCAACTGTAAACAAGCAATAGACCTTGGAAAGCTTAAATGTACAAGGGGTTAAATTAGTTAGTTGAAAAAAAGTTGATATACATAATACCTAAGAGGTTTGTTAAACGTACAACTAGCATAAAGAAAGAAGGACAAATACCCCAAAGTTACTAGTCGCGATGTTTTTTCCTATTAAAATAATATTTTTGTAATAACACACATAACTATTAGACAACTCATCAAAAGTTACAACTTCAAGGCTATTTTTAAAAGAACGGTTTCATCCACTATTTAAATTTAAGTGAACTAGTGCATCAAATTGTTTGGCAGCAATTCCTCTTCTTCTCATGCTCGCCAAATTGGTAATAATGTACACTCCACGTGTATTACAAAAATCATTGTAAATCCTTTATTTATAAAGTTGGCGGTAAGCTTGGTCCTCATTTATACAATATGGTACGCAAAAAAATAGATTCTCGATTAAGGTTTTAGTGTGTAATGTTCTATTATTATAATATAATTTATGCACATATGTAGAACGTTAATAGAAAATGGCGTTAGAACAAATCAAAGATCCCTTGTTATTCTAGTGGGGGATCGAGGTTATATATTTACTTTAACTAATTATTATATTTCCCTTTGCGCTCTTTATTCATTAATAGTTATTTTAAAATACTTTTTAGGGCGTCATCAAGTTGTTAATCTTCATTACATCCTTTCTAAATCCGTAGTAAAAGCTCGGCCTTCTGTTCTATGGTGTTATAAGTCTGAACTAGGATTTAGCAGGTATGTTATATATCTTTTTTATATAACTATTACAAGGTAATTACATAAAAATTGTAGCCATAGAAAAAAAAGACTGCGTCAATTTAAAAAAAAGAAAGAAAAAGGGCTTCTCGATCTCGTCGAAGAAAATCCTTTTGAATTGTTTATAAGCTCAACTAATATTCGATATTGTTATTATAAAGAAACACATAAAATTTTAGGAAAAACTTTTGGAATGCTTGTCTTGCAAGTTTTTTAGTTTTTTCTTACTTTACTTACCGACCGCTAATTTATCTTTTTAGGATTTTGAGGCCATCACACCAAATATTTTAGCAAGAACAATAGAAACCGTCGAAGGAGGTGGAATTATAGTTATACTGTTAAGAACTATGACCTCCCTAAGAAAACTTTATACCATGGCGATGGTACTATACCCAAAACATATAATTTACTTTTTTTTATTGTTGTTTTAAATAGGATATTCACGCCCGCTATAGAACTGCAGCCCACCAGACCATCGTCCCGCGTTTCAACGAAAGGCTTTTATTTATTATATATATATATCATATCTTCGGGGTTGTTTCTTACTCACTTTTTTTCTTAGATTCTTATTGTCTCTTAGCTCGTGTAAGCAAAGTTTGGTGTTGGATGACGAATTCAACGTTCTTCCTATTTCAACTCACGCGCTTTCCATCAAACCTGTCGGCGTTCTCAAAGTAAATTTTTTATTTCTATTATATAGTATATTCCAATAAAAATTTCCCTAGTCGGTCGATTCTGTAAACACTGCTGAACTACTAGCAATAAAGAAGTCGCTTATGGATACACAACCAGTAGGTGCTTTAGTAGAGATCGTTAAAACGCTCGACCAAGCTAAGGCTTTGCTTACTTTTATTGAAGCAATAAGTGAGAAGGCAATAGATCCCATGTATACTTTCATTAAATCAACAATCTAAGTATATTTCAAATAATGGTAGACCCTACGCAATACAGTAGCCCTCACTGCTCCACGGGGGCGTGGGAAGTCTGCGACTCTTGGATTGGCCATCGCTGCGGCTGTGGTTTATGGCTATAGCAACATATTTATAACCTCGCCTACTCCTGAAAATTTAAGTACTCTCTTCGAGTTTCTTTTCAAAGGTTTTGCTGTTCTTCCTCTGCTACTTAATATATAATTACACTGACCGCCAGGCTTGGACTCCCTACGTTATGAAGAGCATTCAGACTACGGCATTGTTCAAAGCACCAATCCTGCTTTCCATAAGGCCATTGTAAGAGTTGACATTTACCGGCAGCACCGCCAGACGGTCCAGGTGCTTCACGAATTCTTTCGTCTTTTTGCTTCTCTTCTTATAGTTTTGTTTTTGCAGTATATTTTACCCAAAGACTCCTACATACTCAGCCAGGCTGAGCTTGTTATTATTGATGAAGCTGCCGCTATTCCTCTTCCTTATGTGAAGGTCCTTTCTATGTTGGTAGTTGCCTCATCTGTTTTAACTTTTTTTTCTCTGCAGGAGCTTTTGGGCCCCTATTTAGTCTTTATGGCTAGCACCGTGAATGGTTACGAAGGCACCGGCCGCGCCCTGTCTCTTAAACTAATCGAACAGCTAAAGCAACAGTGCCATGTGCATTCAGCTGGGCAAATGCTCAGCGCTACAGACGGTTTGCACGAGAATTTCTTGGTTAGTTTTAGTAGTTATAGACCTCTCTAGCGAATGAGATAAGGCAGATTTCTGCTGGTGGCGGGCGGATTTTCAGGGAGATTGTTTTAAAGGAACCCATTCGATACGGCGAAGACGATCAGGTCCCTTTTTCTCCTTGTGGAATAGCAGCTCTGATGATTTTTCTAACTGAGCATTGAAGGTCGAGAACTGGCTAAATAAGCTACTTTGTTTGGATGCACAAGTCTCTCTGACGCCTTCGGGCGGATGCCCGCATCCCTCAAAATGTGATCTTTACTATATAAACCGGTGAGCTCACGCACCAATTTTTTTTAAAGAGGAGCTTTTACAACTTTTTATTATGGTAGGGATACTCTCATGTCGTATCACAACGCCAGCGAAGCTTTCCTGCAAAGAATGATGGGACTGTAAGCCCCGTCTTGCTTGATATAGTCGGCCTTTTTTTTTATGACTGTGCCGTCCTTCCTAGCTATGTCTCCTCCCACTATAAAAATTCGCCCAATGACTTGCAGCTCCTATCGGATGCGCCCGCCCATCATCTTTTCTGCCTCCTTGGACCCGTGGATCCCGCCTTGAATTCTCTTCCCGAGCTTTTGTGTGTCCTTCAAATCTGCCTTGAGGGCCAGCTTTCAAAGACGACTGTTCTTGAATCACTATCGCGGGGACATAACGCAGCCGGCGATATGATTCCGTGGACTTTGTCACAGCAATTCCAGGACGCCGACTTCCCTTCCCTGTCAGGTCTCTCTTGCTCGGTGGTAGACCTTTCCACCCCTATAACCTTCCAATCAGGCGCTCGGATCGTGCGGATTGCCACGCACCCTGCCTATCAGGATATGGGCTACGGGACTCGTGCTATAGAGTTGCTGAAAGCTTATTATCGCGGAGACATCATTTGTTCTGAGGAGACCGTTGTAGACAGTCACACTCCACGTATTTACTATTTGTTTTTTCTCTTGTGACTATTGATACTACTTTGCGAAGAGGAAGTGACTTTTGACGTTCCCCTTGTCAAGGAGAAAATAGTAGCTCGTAAGAACTTACCGCCGCTGCTTTCAAAGCTCACAGAAAGAAAAGCGGAAACCCTGCACTACCTTGGCGTGTCTTTTGGTCTAACCGAGCGTCTCTACAAGTTTTGGAAGAGAAGCAGTAAATAGTGGCGTGCTTGCTTTGTGCGTTTTGTTTCCCTGCCTTTGACTCTATCAGACTTCTTTCCGGTTTACATCCGCTTAACTCCGAATGTTATAACTGGCGAGCACACTTGCATAATGCTCTGTCCCTTGGAAATCTCCTCTGAGACTCCCAGTGACTCTGACCTCGCCGTGTCTGCCGCGAAGGGTTTGACTTCGTACTGATTTTTTTTAACCTATTAACGCGTGGCGCTGCTCAGGATGGCTGCAGAATTACTTGAGCGACTTTCAAAAAAGATTCACTTCACTTCTAAGTTATCAGTTCAGGCGGTTCTCGCCTTCTCTGGCCTTATCCGTTTTGGATAGTAAATCGCTCGTCCCCGAGTCGTCTGCCTCGTTGAAAGATAAGCGTATGTACTAGGGCATGGCTTGGTGGGGAGCGTACTTTGAGGTTTTTTTTTTTTCTCAGTGGATACTCCTGAAGCCATTGAGGCGTGCTTTAGCCCTTTTGACTTGAAGAGATTCGACTCCTACGCCAGAGGTAGAGAAGGTTTCCCGTACACCTTTTACTTGCCTATTTTTTCTTTTTGGCTGGCAGGGATAATTGACTATCATGTTATCCTGGACTTGGTGCCTCTACTTGCATCCTTGTACTTCACGGATCGGCTTCCCGTGCGCCTCTCCGCCGTGCAATCTGCCATCCTTATTGCCATAGGTCTTCAGAGAAAAACTGTGGAAGAGACAAAAGTTTGTTTTCATATTACTTTTTAGCTCACTTAAGTTGAATTTTTTCAATAGGAAGATCTCAACTTGCCTGTTGCTCAGATTCTTGCTCTTTTTAATAGAATTATACGGAAAATAATAGGAAAATTCGATGAAACTATGAAGAATGGTGAATTTTTAATTATTTTTTAATGAAAGCCTATTGATCATCCACAGGAATAAAATCCGAGATGAGTGAAGAGCAGATGAATGCTCTCACTTCAAAGAAATCAGCTGAGAAAATGCTCAAGGAAAAGTCGTTTATTTAAGCAAAGGCAGCAACACAGCTACCAAAAGCCTGCCGCTTAGAAAAATGTGAGCCATTTATAAGCCAGCGGAGTCCTCTCAATTTAAAATGTAAAGAACTTATTTATTATTACAACGGAAACAATGCGATTTTGCGCACGAGTCAGCGCTCCGGAGCGCTCTCTAAGGCATTTTAGTTTCAAATTATGAATAAAAGAAGGGTAATTTTTCATACCTGGCACACCCTCCTCTCTACCAATCACTTCTGCCCCATTATAATCTCTTTTATTTTGATTGACGCTTTCCGGAACCTCGCCATAGTTCTGTTCATCTCTTCTGTTGTCTTTTAGTAAATTATAATAATATTTAAAGAAGAATATTGTAGTGCTTCTGGCAGAAACCGTCATCGTCAGAGTCGGACATTTCTTCGTCGCAAATGATTCTCCGGTCTATGAAACAGCGACGTCACAAAAGATGTTAAAGGCGTTTGGCCCATACAACCGTTGAAAGTAGGGGAAGTTCTTTTGTCGGCGTCTTCGGGCTCCATTTCCTCCTTGCTGGACACTACTGGCATATTGCCTGCTTTTTCCGGTATATATAACAAAGTTGGTGTCTCAGCTTTATAAGGTGTACAGTGCGTCATGGCCACGCTGGGAGCTGCTCCTCCAGCTATATTTCGCAAATTCTCTAGTAGTACACAAGTAGTTTTCTGGAGATACTCGGGCGTGTTTTTATTCTCCATGTTGCAGGGCTGCACTTCTAGCGTATAGTCAGGACCAAAGTACTCGAAGTATTCGTTGTAGGGTAAATCTATAGATACACAAATAGTATATTCGGTATGGCCTTTTCACCTGTACCGCCACCTTTGCTGATCTCTGTCTCCAGCGCAACGGCCGTCTCATAGGTCCAGCAGCGAGCCACGTTGCGGATGGTGTACCCGCCACCTCCAAGCATAAGCAGAGGGACATTAAAAGACTTAACGTAATCCACGCATCCCGAGTGCCCTGCGCGATGAAGATAAATCTTTATTGACTGATAAATTCTTTACTAAATAAACCGCGCAAAGACAGGTTAAAGCAACCGAGTCTGTCGCCCGCAAGAGAATCTGCCCCGCACTGAAGAACAATAGCGGTCGGGCGGTAAAATGCCATCACGTTCGATAGAACCTACGAAAATTCTTTGTACACGCGAGCGGGGACGCGAGTAGTGGTTTTGCAGACCTGCTTAAAGATGGCAAGGAAAGAGTCGTCGTCCAGTCCGTCTCGTAAAGGAAAATTAAGAGCATAGTACTTTCCTGCGCCCGCCCCGATGTCCTACGAGAATGTGAGGGCTCAAGTAGCAAAGGCGCCTGCACCGCCGAGTAGCAACCCTTATATCTCCTGTCCCTGGAAAGTATTCTCCAAACTTGTGAAAGGAGAGTGTCATGACACGATCGGTCGTGTAAAAAGCCTCTTCCACACCGTCGCCGTGATGCACATCGATATCCACGTACAAAACACGCGGGTGAACTCTACATAATTAAAAAGCTAAAGCTTTGGTAATGTGTATTTTATTATTCGTGCCAACTTCAGAAGCTCCAGAATTGCGAGGACAATGTCGTTGACGTAACAAAATCCAGATGCTTCTGTCTTTTTTGCGTGGTGCAAGCCGCCCGCCCAGTTTATAGCTATATCCGCTTCTCTGTTGTTTAACTTGACAGCGGCGGCTGCAAAAACCTTTATTACAAGAAACAGTAATAACAGGCAATAAAATACCGATTGAGCCTCCAGCTGAGATTTGGCAGAATTCATAAAGTCCATAAAATACGGGACAGTCATCACCCACATTAACTTTTTAAAAAATATTATATAACTCAGATAAAGGGACTAAAACAGCGCTGTAGCTTTATAAATTATTTTTTATTTAATAGTATGATTATAATAAAGATACAGCGAGCCATTGCTTTTGAATACTCTTGAACGTTGTCAGGGGTGATAGTCCTTAAAAAGTTAATGTAATCGTCAATGTGAAATCTCGTCAGGTCTTCAAATTGAGCTCGTGGAGAGCGCTTTATTTAACCCCAAAAATTACATATACTTTAACATATATAGCGCAAATTTAAGAACGCTTACTTACAAAAATTTCCATTTTTTTATATAATCCATAGTTTAGTAACAGATTATGAGTCATCCTTATCCGGTGAGGTTTCATAGGGTGGCCTTGGCCATAATAATAATTCCCAGTGTCAACTAAATAGTTTATTAGTAATCACAGAGTTGCAATGGTTAGTCCTTACCATCATAAAAATAACAAATTCGTCGTTTATAACCAGATTTTCCAAAACTGAAATCCATATTATTAAAAGATTAGAAAACTAAAAGAATGAAAATTAATAAGGAGAGTTTTGTTTTTTTTTATGGACTCAAAAGTTTGTAGCTAATTGTAGTTAAAAGAAAAAAAAAATTATAAAATAATTTGATTGAACTACATTGAAAACAAAGCTTCGCCATTGCAAACTGCTTTCAGTATTGCCCTCGAGAAATTAGTGGGCCATGGAAGACATCTGGAAAATCGATAATTCTCTATAGGGTCTACATGACTATTTGCCGTAGTATTAGGTAAAAGGTCAGCAAAATTTTAATGAAGCAAACCAAAAACTTAGTAAAATTATTATTCTAATTTCTGTCATGAGCCAGTAGAAAGAATAATGAGAAATATTACAGTAAAAATTTTTATAAACGCTTTAGCACAGAACATTCAATTGAGACGAAGCATGGATTTGCACTTATTCGAGTCTAAAGGACAAAAAAGGTAAAGGCAATATAAAGTTTTGTTTCACAGGCCAAAAATTTAAAACCCCCACAGGAAGTAATTAAGAAGCGACGATAACTTTGTTTATGTTATTTACAAATATACATAAATGTCATCTTGGCTTTTGTCATGGTAGGCTGCTCCTTCACATATATGCTAACCTCCCCAATACCATCAATTAATTAAATTAAATAATTATGTTTATCCGTGATAAATTTTCTAAGTTGAAAAGATTTCTGCATTGGTGTAATGTGTTTGTTTGTGGTGTTGTTGTGACTTTATTACAGTCTTTTTAAAAAAACTAAAATTGTTGAAGAATAATCTATCATTTGTAACTACAGGAAGTGAAGGTTAAGGGAGAAAGTAAATATATAATAGTCCACAGGCAGTTAATTTTCTTTTTGCTTTCTCTTTTTTTTTCTCTACTTGTTTTAGTTTACCGCTGTGCGGGCTGGGTCTAACTTGTGTATTGTAATATACGAGACGGTTTAATAAATAATTTATATAATTTTTTAGTGCTAAATAATGCTTATTATACTTATATAAATCACTTATATACAATGTTTAACATTAAAATAAGAACCATAAGTACTCCATTCTAACGGTTCCGGTTGAAAGTGAGTCTCATTTGAAGGGATGTTGTTTAACAGTAATAGACTAAAAACTACCAAACTAATTAAAAATGCGCAATTAGGAATACTCCCGAACATTAATTTCCCGAAAAATTTAAAAAATTTTATGTATAAATGCAACAGAAATGTGAAATAAAGTTAAAGTTAACCCCTACTTTTAGATTTTCTTCGCTCCATTCTGTTAAGTAGAAGTCTTGGATTGTGTATGTACCCATAAAATTTAAAAGTTGACGTGTCAAATAATTAATTTAACAATTATTGAGTAAAGTTAAAACAAATAAGATGTCTAGCGGAACCTTGTTTTCAGAACTTTAAATATCGTGCAGTGACGAAGTGTACCTTGTAAAAAATGGTAAATGTACCCAGAAAACCAACGCATAATTATTGGCCACTTATCCGCAATATGCTCCTCATATGCAACGGTCAAGAGGTGTACTTGGCTGTCTAAACAAGGGAGTGAGTCAACAAAAGACAATAAGCGTCTATGACCATCTTGCACGGTCGTAACGGAAGAAAATTTTTTAGAAGTGGAAAAGGTTTTAGTAGATCGTCGAATTCGGGATTCATCAGGGTAGTAGAGGGACTAAAGATTAGCAAGATGGTGTTTGGACAAATCCTGCATAGTCATTTACTAATGAGCCTGGTGAGCGAGCGTTGGCTACCCAAGGTGTTCTCCGCTAAATCGGGAACAAAGAGTGGAAAGTTGGCGTGATTTTCTTCGTTATGTGAGGATGACGGATTTATCAGTACGTTATAGGTCCATACAAGAGTTCATTCAATGGATAAAAAGGGGAAGAAGCACCCGCTCAAGTCCAGAGTAGAAAGAATAGCTACCGAACTTATGGAACGTTATTCCGTAATAGCGCAAGGATACATTTAAGGTGGATTACCTCCCTAAAGGAAGAGCGACGAACGGACAATATTCTGCTGAGTTAATCATCCATGGATTTCTCCTGTTACAAGACCACGAGCCGTTTCAGACAGCTTAAGTTGCAAAGCGTTGCTATACGAACGAGATGTAAACTTCAGAGAAATACTCATCCACTTAAATAATTCAGATCTGGCTCTCAGCTATTTTAACTTGTTTAAAGCTCTATAAAAGGCTTTACGTGGTAGAAGATTTTCGGATGAGAAGGAAATGGGTCCACTGTAGATAAGCAATTGCAAAGTTTTGAAAGATTTATTCTTGGATAAAACAATTGAATGGTAGTTGTGAAATATTAAGATAGATGGAAATTTTTTATAATGAAAACAAAAAATATTAGTTTTTAAAAATCAGTCTTACTGCCCTAGGCTTATTTTTTACAGGACACTTTCGTACCGATTTTTCACAGAAATACGGATAAAACGGAATAAGGCAAATTCTGCTTATTTAAATGTTATTTTTATTAACAGGGAGGTTAATTTATTTGTACTATACCTTCGGATCTAATTAGTTAATTTTCAGATCTTGTCCAATGAGATTTCGTAGTTATTTTTTGCTTTCGACTTAGTAAGTAATATTTATAAGTTCTTGACCAATGATTTCTCTAGCAGTTACTTATCTATATTTAGCAATTTCTCATTTGTGATTTGTGCTTTTGGTTCGTTTTTATGATGAGTTATTTTTTATTTTGTCAAATACTTTTATGGTAATTGAAAAATTAACAAATTAAAGAATGGTGTTCATAGAAAAACCGCTTAAAGTAAGCAAGAAAAATTATACTCGATACTAAACTCAACTGGATAGCTCATGTTATCATGCAATCAAGAAATTTTAAACCTTTATTTTTCGCCCTATAACTATTAAAATAAAACAATTTTAATTTAAAAAAAAAGTTTTTTGCTGGTATAAACACCTATTATTTCCTATGCTTCATTACTTCGCCTTAAATTTATTTTAAATATCGGTATACAAAAAATTAAAAACTATCCGAAATAGGGAACTAGCAATCCTTAGGACGTCCTCTATTCTACACTAAGTGGATACTTTAAACCGCGAATTTGGCATACTACTATGTTCGAACAACTAAAATTTGATTTGACTACCCGATGCCACTAACAATAATTATCATCTTCGCTCTTATAAATTTCCTACTAGTAATACTAATAGTAACTGGATGATAAATAAACACAAATACAACTTATAACCTTTAAACATTTATTTTTTGCTTGGTTTATTTTAATATTAGCTGCGCGAAGTTAAAAGGTTAGCTCTTAGACTCAAAACAAAACGTGAGAAGTAGGCTGAAGGAAAAACAATTTTTTTAAAGCTCTACACCACCACTTAAGAATATGGCCTGGGTATGTGGGCGCTTTCCAAAATTAAAAGCTTAAAACCTGTACTTAAACGCACACTAAATTTCTATTACGTTTTGTTAGATTTCCACTATGCCAAAAAGTGGACGCCTATCTAAAGTAGGCAGAAATTCTTATACAGAGACACTAATACCTTACACGTTCTAATTTTGTCTTTCTTATAGCTTCAAATGGTCTACTAAAACCCCAAAAAAAAGTGACTAGATAGATATGGCTTAATAAAAGTATAACAACTTTTAAAGGCATCAATACAAAAAAAATAAGGAAATAAAATGTGAATAACAAAAACTATTGTACTGAGTTTACAATAAATTTCAATTTTTTTTGGAAAATAAAGAGAGGGTTGTAATAAATCAAGTTTTAACTGAAGAAATAAATTGAAGCTTTCTAATTTTCGCGATTGTATAAAGTTATAGAGCATTATGTAATTATTACACAAAAAGACATATATTTCGAAAAGCCTAGAGGGCCACGTACTTTTTTATTTTACTTTTTTGTTTCGCCTTCCAAACCGTTCGAAAATTAGTTGGTTCTTGTACATTATCGATTAACTTGTTATATGTAACCTTCATATTAAAACCAAAACTTCTTATATTATAAAGAGTGTAAAACTAAGGCTAGATTGCAACACCAAGAGAAAGCACCACCTCCCAAGGTTTTCATAAAACTTTAACTAAGGTAAGTTCGCTTTCTACTTCGCCACTCGATATAAACAATTCATTCTTATAGAAGAAACTGTCAAATTTAGGAATGAGCTATTTATGCCTATAAATTAATAGTTTAACAGCTTGTCTGTTCGGGGATCGTTATGTTCTAATTACCGTTTAAAATAAAATAAAACAATCAAAGTAAGCTACTAAGCCACAGAGTACAATCCCGAAAACGTCGCCTTTATTATAAGGACTTTACACCATATATATACGTATTAAAATTGAGTGGATTTTTATAATTACTATCATCCTGTAAAACCACTAAGTTAAACAATCCAGTTTCTATATTTGAGGCCTTTGGACCTCGTATTCTCGTAATTTATTAAAGCAGTACTACATGTGGTTTCATTAAACTGAGTTCAACGAGACGCTATGGTTGGTGGTTATTTTAACAGCTATAAATGTAGGGCGAATAATGGGATAGCGCACTACTTCGTGCAAATCGTATTATATTTGAAAATACTTACACCTTGTAAGTTACCCTAGCCTAACCCTGCCTTAACCTTAAGCCTGACTTTTCTACTAGAATTCCTTTAAGCCTACAAAGATAAAAAAAAATTAATATGGATTTTTATGTTTATAAATTCCCCTATATCTCGCTTTGATAGTAAAATAGACAATCTTAAGTATCATAGTTTACTTATGAACAGATATATTGACTAAGACAGTGTAAAATTGTAAAACGTCGAAAACATCTCTTCGAATTTTTAAAACTTTAGGTTAGCTCCAATATCATAAAGATCTTAATTTATAGGTTGAGCACACCATATAAACAAACTTAAGGTGAATTTTAGAAAAGAACCATAGAAATTTTGTATGAAGTTCATAGTCGTCTCTTAACTACCAAGCTCTACTATATTTAAATTTTCAATATAACCCCCCCCCCCCCCCTACACCCCAACCAACCAATATATGTGCTAAATCTCGCATTTACAAGTGGTTTACTAGCGTTTACGGTGGAAGTCTTCACTTTGCATGCATAAATTGGTACTGATTATTATTATTTAATACATTCATTATTTTAAGAAAAGTTAATAAAAAAAAATACACTGTTTCAAAAATATAAGAATACAAAGTCGTTACGCTTATTGAAAGTGTTTTAACTAGAACACTGATAACTTTTACACTTAACTACCAACAAACCCTAGGAGATGAAAACTAGAATAATGTAGCCAAAAAGGGAAATATATTATATACTAACTTAAGTCAAGCTCCTTCAATGAAAAATTGACTTAATAAATATTTTTTTTAATTTAAAGGATTTTAGTTCGGATGGCCTCCCTAAGGTTTTTTGTGTTTCTTTAAATATTATAATTTAAATACTTTCTTCATAGCATATTTTATAGACGCTTTAAAACAAAGTAACTAAACCAGAAAGTTTTTACTATAAAACAGTAGCCCAATTAAACCAAACCAATAAAATCGACTCCTTATAGTAAAGCTGCCATGTGGAACCCCAGTACAACCCCTCTGCAAAGAGGACCGAATGGTAAAAAAACCCCCTACTAAATCCAAGTACCTTTTAACAGACATACAGTCCTTTAATTTTTGTAATGTAAGCGTTTATTTTACTAAATAATAAGAGTTAACAAGCAAATGTAAAAGGGCAACTCAAATGACAAAGGTAACAAACAGGTCTACGGTCGATGCAAAGCATACAAGCAATGCTACTTGTCAAAAGCAAACTTTTCTTCAAAAAATTTCCACAAAACCGAAAATAACATTCCTTTTAAATAGTAAAAATTAGATATAGTGTGAGGATATATATTGATAACAAGAAACTTGAACGCCATTAGCAAGAATTTTGGTTCGAAGACCCCTAAAAAGTAGACCTGTAACGCCATCCTTACAAATCACCATGCTAACGGCCTGAGGATACGTTATGGGTTGTTCGTGTGTCTGTTTAGTAGTCTTCACCACCCGGATGGAATTTGAGCACGTGTCCGAAACCATCGAGGAGATAAACCCAATTAGTGCATTTCTTGATAGTTTCAAAAAGAAACGATCGTCGGCGGGTTTAGAAATTAGCGAGCTTAACTGGTTATGAGTAAAGAACCAAGGAAAGTGGCCAACAAACGTAGCTGAAGCAGACGCAAGAGCGCCGTGATAAAGAATGGAAGGTCCTCGCATTTTGATTTTCTCACCTGTTTGCACGTTAAAAATACCTTTATAAGTAAGCACTGGTGCTGTGAGTATTATACCCAGCAGCGAGAGCCCTTTAGGGCCCTGTACTTGCAGAGTAGTCTTTAAAGTATCTATAGGGGTTAGGTTTATTCTCCACAGTGCAGCCGTTGTAGAGGCAGCCATCGTCTTCAGAGCGATAGGAAACCCCTCAGTACTTTTAAAAGAGTCGAGAAGAGAAAGAACACCTGCCGGCATAATAAGAGGAATGAAGGAGAGGTGCAAGACTTCTTCTCTTTTACCCACATTCGCCGCGGTATCTCCGAAGCGGCAGAGAGGGCCCATCAATAAGGCTGGAGCTACTCCCCTGTAAAAGCGCCGAAGCCCCCCTTCATTATAAAGAACACGGAACGTTGTTACAGTAGATGAACCGCCATGACGGTACTGATAATTAAAGGTCGTTCGAAGAGGCATTAATGTGCACACTTGTATCACCTAAAAGATTAATGAAGGTAAAACAAGACGTAGCCACATAGCTTTCAAAATCGATTAAGAGCTTTACATATATATATATATAACGCATAGATGTTACTGTAAAAACTTATACTTTATAAGTAATAACATTAAAGTTATACACAAACTAAAATATGAGAGGTTGTGCAATCATGTATAAATTGAAAATTGTAAATAAGTCGTATAAAAGGTATTAATTCAAAAAGTATAACTCGAGAAAAATAAATAAAAATTTTCTCTTATGTATAACACATCTTTAATAAAAGTTTGTTTATTTAAAATAACCTGTAGCTTATATATATGATATACAAAAAAAAATAAAAACTATTAATTCTTTGTCGTTAACCTTAAACGAAGTTTTTAGTAAAAAGAAAAAAAAATTTCATGTATAGGATTTAATGGCTATTTAAAAGCAACTTTTTTTTGTATTAGTACTATTACATATGGATTGTGAAAAAAAGTTACCATAGCAAGAGCCCCTGGAATACCTCCGCTTAAAGCTTTTGACGAGGAAATCTTCAATATGTCAAGAGTAGATGGTAAACTACCATCCTTCTCTAAAGACATCCTAAACTGTTACCAAGCGGGCTTCGAACAATTTTTTGCTAAGGAGTTTTCTCGACTTCGTGGTGTTAACTGAAACGTGGTTGGCTGGTAGTAGTAGCTCTCAGTTTGAGTGTGCAAACTAAAAAGAAAAGCCCCTGGTAGCAGTACCGACAGGGTGGCCCCTAACGTAGAGTGATACTATAACTTTTCTATGTGCATTAATAGTAAATTTTTAATCACAGAGTCACAGACTGCAGCATTTAGTTAACTCGGCAGTTATACATATCATCCGCTATAATTTATGTACCCCTTACCAGCACTTTTTCGGTTAAAAATATCAAAAAATTCGTAGAGTACCTTACTACCTAAAAAACCAGCCTACAGTTCTGTTACCTTCTTTTCTGCTTTTTTTTGTTAATTTCCAAGTTTGTTCCACTTGAAGCCTCTTATAGCCTAACTCCTATTCCCTCTTCATAGTTTTGACCAGGTCGCTACTTAATTTACTTTTCGTATTGAGCTCTTTATTGTTCGCTTATCTTTTGTCCTCTTAAATCTCTTTTTATAAAGGCCTTTATTTTGGGGCGTTTATTAACTTTATAAAACCTTAAAAACCTAGGGTTGTAACAAATTATGGCAAGGCAAAAATTTTGATACTAATATCGCTAAGACGCTGTAGACACTGTATAGTGATACTTATTTAAAGTTCTATCAAAAAAATTAATTTAAAAAAAAACTCCAAGTAAACAAAAAATAAATAAATAGCCACAACTAACGAAGAAATAACTATACATCAGTAAACGCGAACGAAAAAAAAGTTGAAGAAAAAATTAAGCTGCCTTCCCACCTCCCACCCCAAAATAAAAAACACTATAACCACATCTGTTTAATTATTAAACATTAAGGCGATATATAAATAGATTAATGAAGCCGCTTTCGAATAGGGGTAGCCACAGAGACAGAGAGGATGTCATGTTATCAAGCGTTATAAAAACCAACAGGTGATATAACTAACTATTTTAGCATTTTCAACCCAAGAACCTAATACCTAAGAAACAAATACTGCGAGAGCAAGTTTTAGGTTACCAGCTGCTACTGTGTATTCAAGCTTAGCTCCATTATCGGGCTTGGAGGTAACATTTACATGTGGTGACTGGTCATTTTACTTTTAACTAAAAGACTTAAAATGCAACCTGATTGAATTTTTTATTAACTCGTATGGTACGCACAGCATTTTTACTTGGTTTAAAGTCTTTTTTGGTTGAAATCACTAAATTTTTTCACACTTATACCGGCCTCAACGTTTTAAACCCAAAGAAAAGAGAAAAAATAACAGGTATCGCAGCTTTATACGCGTATATTTATCATTTATCTTTATAAAATATAAAAATTTAGGGTATTAATTTATATTTTAACTACACCTCTTACCTTTAGAGGGAATTCTGTTTACCACTGCAACTTCTTTTTTTATATTTCAATCTTTTAAACTTTGCTTTACTTTTCCCCAAGAAAGTTGTTTCATCCCACTTCGGAAGATTTAAAAAAGAAATTTGAAAATGTGAAAGAAGGTAGTTTGCAATTTTTATTTCTGATCATAAAGGTTTCGATTTATATATTTTAAATGTGTTTCTATATATATATTTACAGAATTTAATAACGTTGCTGAAGAAATGGGAGTCAAAACGCCCTGCATCTCCTTTCACGTTGGCAATACCTTTAATTCATACTCTCAAGGCTCAATTATATTTTGTACTGCAAGTCTTATAGTCTCTCGCCTACTTTTGGTTATTTTTACCCTTAAATTTTTTTTATAACTTTTAATTAAGTATTCGTTACTTAATTTTAAAGTTTTATTTTTTTTGTTGTTGTAAGCTTACTGAAAATTTGTTTTTATAAAGGTGTATTTTGTTAATATTACGAGTCTGTTTTAAAGAAAGACTACATAAAACTAGGCACGTTGCTTATCTCTTCTCAATTATGTATCGGGTTCACTTGAATATATTAAAATAGGAGCGTTAGAACATGATGCTGTCGATACTAATTTCTCGATCTTAGCTTTTTTTTTTAAATTTATTAATTTAAAGAACGACGAGTTGGAGAGCATTACTATGGATAATTATATGGGGAATAATAGGGAAGCTTGGACCGTTTTAAAAGAATCCCTTAAAACTACCCGAAGACAAAACCGCTTTGTAATACAATTATTTATTTATGCCGTAGAGACGCTTTACTGGTTTGCAGGTCCTTTCGCATGAACTGACCCACATTGCGCAGGAACACAGCCTCTTTTGGACTTTATATCAACCTATCAGCTTGTTGGCAGTCCACCAATTATTAAAACGGTTTCTTTCTTCTTTCTTTCTCCGAAATTTAAAGCTCACCACGAAAGCGCTTATAGCTTAGATTTATGAGATATTTAAGTTTATACAGATTCTCTCAAAGCTTTTAGAAATATAAGTATACAGAGCTTTGTGTATATCATCATAGAAGACTAAGTGTATGGAATAATTACTACGTCTGTAAATAGGAAGACTCTTTTTTTTGGGAGCCGCCCATTTCTTTCTCTTCTGTCCGCCTTGCTTATGAGCACATGCAGCTCGCCTTTCCTTTTTAAATATTTAGAAAGTAGGGCGGATACTGCTGCATTGTTTTCCAAAGAGATGTGTCTTGGGGGATTGACTGTAAGCTACTTCATTATTCGATTTTTAGAGATTTTTTTGTTTCCCTTTTGTTACATACAAGCATATTGATCGACTACTCGAGCGCAACAGAGCTATTAGAGCTCTTGTTAAAGCTAATTCTGCTGTGGACTCTGGTATATCGCTAACTTAATGCCCGCGTTTTAAGCTCATCTTTTTTCTATTTGATATTATCTGTGTCTACTACTTCTTTTTTGTATCATCGACTCACAAGGTTTTGTTTTCTTTTTTTTTATTAGTTGAACTGGCGTCTGTAAGTGTATTATTATCTATTTTAATTACAAATTTATTTTGTAAATTATTGCATTAGCAGTTCTCGTTATTAAGGCAATATGACCACTATATATGAAAAAATTTACATCGGGAGATGATTGAGAAAAACTTTCCCCTGAACCTTAAATTTGTAAAATTTTAGATCTATAATTTTATACACTTCTTCCATCTGGATTTCCAACGTAAATATATAAGCCTAAAAAGAGCATTTACGTGGATAATTATCATCTTCAAGATTAACATATGAAAACATTCTGAAGCAGTTCGAAAAAAGTGAATCATTAGTTCTCTTGTTTGACGGACGTCCGTCAGTTAAGGGCGAATCTCACTCCCTTTTGCAGTCTATTGGTCTGCCGGCTGTTGTATGATCAGAGCCGCAGTGCATAGATAGCATTTAACATTTTAAAACTTGACCTTTTAGCCTAAAGTACTAATATTACTTACAGGCAACTGGTTACTGGCAGCACACATTGGTTAAAACTTTCTTGCTCTTTATATATATCTCCATTAATAAGGTCATAAACCGTTCAGAAAGCGATGAGGTTTCTAAGTTATTATTTTTTTAACACAAGTAACCTATTAATCTGCTCTACTTATTAACATTTTTGTAAAAACTTTGAGTGTAGCACTACACCATGTCCTGTACTTTCGTAATTTAAAAAAATATTATTTATAGTTTGTGCTGGTCATTTAATTATAAGAGATATCGGCGTGGCATTTACCATAAATTCTGTACTCAGAAAATTACGTTAGCTGAGGTGGTATATATTGTAGAGTAACTACCCATCCAATAGATACTTGTTTCGGTGAACTATTTTTAACATTAAAGTCTGGGATCCGCCCCTCTGGTGAGCACCTCTTCAGTTATTCTCATCCCTCATATCGAAAAAGAAAAGAAAAGATGCTGAAGTTACTAGATAAATATTGCGGAGATGGATAAGCGGTATTGATACTGACGAGTTGATTTCATAAACTTTTCTAGCACGTGATTTTAGTAGAATTCTGTGCTAAAAATTTATGACAGTAGTCCATAAAACACAGGACTTTTCGCATTAAAAAAAATTATAGTGAGTATATGTGGAGGCGTTCTTTCTTACAATTATAATAATAATTTTTGTAATCCACTTTTTATTTAAGCACAGTTTAAGCCGACTTCATCTTTCCTGTGAGGGGAAAAGGGGTTTCGGAAATATAACGTTCTCTCTTGCTCTCCTTCTCCCACTAACTTTTTTTATCCCGAGCTTGTGTGGTGACGGAGGAAGCTTTTGCTCTAACTCACAGTTAAAATAAATTTTGGTACGGACGCTATTCAAGGTAATGACTGTAGAGTTTAGTACTGCCTGAGTAGATATAGTAATTTTTAAAACCTGTAGATTCTATTAAACTTAACCATAATATGTACTCCCGAATAAATTGTATCTGATAAACTTACTTTAGTATTTTTGGACGATTTTGAAATAGTTCTTTTTTCTTACAAGGTTGCTAACCTTGATTTTAGCAGGGCTAATCTATTTTTAAAAAATTTACTATGCTTAAACGGCGTTTACTTATAATAGAGAAGATAATAAAAATTTTTTAATGCTTATAAAGCAAGTAGTCGCTTTAAAAATAACCATTTTATGTTATTAACCCAGCAATTTTTTTAATAGCTCTCTATGGCGTAAAAATGAAAGTTATTGCTTTAACGTAATATCTTTACTCTATTGTGTTAAGTTACGTGCTGTGTGTCCAACATTTATAATAGTAACGTGATCTTTAAGTTACACATTATTAAATAACAAGTAATACCTTACTAACAATTATTATTGCCGAAGAAGCTCATTTATGAGTCAAAACGGATGTAGCTACCAAAAAAAGCAGCAATTAGTCCTACATTTTGCAATTAAAGTTTTTTTTCTAATAAAACACTTATTAAGTTGAAAAGGTTAAAAGGTGAGGTTAGGTATATTGAAAGATGGTATAACGCTGGGTTCGCTCGTTATTTGTATTCGTTTTCTCAATTAGTAAGCTATTAAAGATTTTAACGATAATCTGTCTATCTTTCCAACTGTGTTATCTAAATTGAGGCGACTATGAGTTTTCTGCTATTTTCTTACTAAAAATATAATACCTTAAGTTCAAATAGAGTAATAAATTAACCCTAAAACATATTAAAAAGTGCTCTTTGTCTTTTTAATGACTAAATTGTTGACTAAGTCAATGATTGTTCGAAAAGAAACATTATGTAATATCAAACTATAACATTAGTAATAGCCTGTAGATTTGGTGCGCAATTACCAACTAAGCATTTAAACCTTTTTTTTTATTGATATTTCCTGGTGCTCGATCGGGTCGTAAAAAGAAACACCGAATTTACGAGCTCAAAAACAGGGTGATAGCGTGCACTTTAGCTTTAATATTGTGTTAAAGCGATCTTATATATATATATATATATTAAAGGTAATTTTACCCCTAACCCATAATATTATATACTTACAGCCCATTGCGCGGTCGGTGATGGCATGAGCCGTCCCAGATTTCGTAATTAATATCATATGACAGTAACCCAGAGGGTTGTAATCTAGAGGACCTGGCCGTAAGACATCGCCGCGAACACACTGTCTCACTTGAAGCGAAGAAACTATTACCGGTGAGTTGTAGGCCCAGGCAGCAGACGCGCATATAATGATTGGTCGGATACACAACACATACAAGTGTCATTTGCTGTGCAACGAGAATTTGCTTCGGGCACAAAGTAAAGGGTAAAGGGTTTGCACCGCCCCCTCAACGTTCACCGCGATATAGTTTATGCGCGGCCACCACGAGAGCTATTGTCGATAATGACCCCCAGGTATTTCGCTTGAGGACGCCAAGTAAAATAACCTAGCATGGGTGATAGCGGTGTAGTGGGCCTCTTCATTATAAAAAGGGCTTTGCTCTTTTCCGCATGAATAGTAATTTTCCAACGACGACGCCAGTTGGCAAGCGTCACTAGGTAGTACTGCAAATGCTGACGCAATAAGGCAGGTGACTCGGACGTGTAACTCTCCGTAGCATCCGCATATTAGGCAATATCCGAGTGTAGGGGTCCTCGGGCTGAGGCACGTCGCGCACATAAAGTGCAAAGAGTAGGGGTAATAAAAGAGATCTTTGTGAAGCTGCGCTATGATTCAAAGTGCGATGTGATATGTACTATCTTACGCCGCACTTGAAGTCAAAGTGCGGCTCGTGCCACAAGGGACGCTATGACTTGAGAGATGAATAGTGTTATTAACTAGTATGTTATATAATCGCGCGGCTCCCGGGCTGGGAGTGGTCTTCGAAGTGAGCACGCTTTGCCCACCCGTATATCAAAGAAGCGAACCTAAGGTAAGCTTTGATCACGTTAATAAGAACAGTAAGAAGATGACGCGCAATTTGTGAAGCAAGCCCTTGGGCTAAAGTTGGTCAAACACTTCCTCGACATCATGAAAGACGGCGCCTAGTACCTTCTTTAAATTGAAATACGGATTCATTTACCCTGTCAAGTGAAGGAGTTATTTTAGTCGTTTTGGAGTGCTTGTCGAAATCCTAATTGGAACTCTGGCAGGGCATGGTTTGCGTAACAAATGCTTTCAGGCGGTGCAGTACAGTCGCCTCAGCAACTTTGGCAACGGCTGACAAGAGGTTGATAGGACTGTATTTGCTTGGCGTAGATGCTGGTCGTGGTGTCTTCGGGAGCACCACAATATTTGCCATCTTCCAGCGGATTGGAAGGGCGCCGAGAGCCATCGTAGAGTTGATGAGGCGGCATAGGCGTTCTACCGCCACCATTGGTAATTGCTTTAATTAACGTCACGTTGGTGATACCATCGGGGCCAGGTGCCCATCACCTCTACATAGCGATAATAATCTCTACGATTCCAACTCTGGTGATTGGCTAAAGCTGTTCTTCGGTATTAGCAAATGTTTAATTCACAAAGCACTTCTTCAGCAACTAAATTAGCAGGTGGCATACACTAAGTAGAGAGGTGACCAGAAAAAAGTGTCGCTTTTTTGTCAACAACATTTTCCGCCACAGACTTACCATTTCCCGCAGTAGGTAACGGTAAACGCGCTCGGTTTTCGTATTTTCTAATAAAACTTTCCCGTTACCGTTCTCACCCGATATATTACTTAGCTTTGTCTTCCACAATCGGTAATGGTGCGCCAAACAGTCCTTTCCAATGCGCCGGTGTAGTCTATTAAGCGCTAATCTATCTTCGTTATCTTCGTGGAGTTGTGACACCGTGGCCACTCGAATAAGGCGTCGCCGCTTGCAGATGAGCGCCTTCAATTCATCAGGCAACCGGTTAAGGCAAAACTCAACTTCACGTGTTGACGTGGCGGTGTGGTATGCCATGGTCAAAACTCCCTCGAATTCCGCAACAGCAACGTCAAGTAAGGCGAAAGATGTTGAAAAGGTTATATCACGAGCCTCAAAGAATTGAGCTCAGTCCGTAAAAGTTCTCGTATATGTCCTCAGTAACTCCTTTTCGTCGCCCAGATCAAGCAGAACTGGCAGATGGTCCGACGAGAGCCCGTAAAGAACTTCCATTGCCGTTAAAATATAAATATTTTTCAAAACAACGATATCCAGTGCGATTGGTAACCCTGTCTTCGCCATGTGCGTTGGGTACTGTGGTCCTAAGACGTGCAGTTCGCGCTCGTTCGGTGTAAGACTCGAGGATTCGGCTGTTTGGATTATTGACACAGCTATTCCAGGCGTGATGCTTGCAGTTAAGGTTTCCACATACACCAACTGAGGAACTATTTATAAAAAGGATAACCATGATTTGAGGTAATAAGTGACCTGCTGGGAGACTTGTAAGCTGCAGTTACCGACGTGGGCCCTAACTGGTTAAATGGAGGGAAACCCCAACCACCTCGATGCTTTGAAGGGCTGGGAAAGATATCACACCGTGTTGAATGTTTTGTCTGACCAAAATAGCTGCGCCTCCGCCTCCCCTATCAAGGCGTCCTAACGGTACGTCCAAAAGTTGCAGAGATTAAATGGAACGCTCGGGAGAAGATGAGTCTCACTGATAACACAGAGAACAATTCCTGCAACTCTTATCCCCTATGTAGAACGCCATCGAAATTCCAGAACAGAAGACGGATATGAAGAAGGGTTTGTGGTCTAAAAACCATTGCAATCTAGACCCTTTACAGTCCCTAACATTGTTAACAGGTTTGGCGCCAATACTGAAAGAGTTGTCGAAGTGTAGGTTGCAGTTGTTGAGGGGGTTGTGGTCTGAGGAATTGTCTTTGTAGCCAAGCGAGCAGCATAGGAAACTGCCGGAGTAACATTAAGAGGGGTCTGTTTTAAAGTGTTGGTAGAGCAGTTTGAGTGGATGGTATAGGCCTACGCGGGTAATGTTTGCAGCCACAACATTTGGCAGTGTGCACTTGACCGCAAGCACAGCTGGCAAGGTTTTCTCGTGCCTTTATGCACCGTGCCGTCAAGTAGCCCTCGCCACATTTAACACATCGGAGGGCTGCAGAGCAAAAACGTGCGCTCTGTCCAAATACCTGACAGCGGTGGCACTTTCCGACTCGATTACCCTTTCAAAGCTCTTCCACCTTGACCTAAAGATATAAAACAGTCTTTAATTCCAACATCTTTTGTCCATCACATCCAGATATATGCGCTAACACCCATCGGTAAAGTTCTCTTCGTGCCTTTCCCATCGACAGGATCCTCAGCGTGCATCCTTGCCACGCGGAGGGGTGGGACGCCTTGCGTGCGTAAATCCCCTTCGACGGTTTGAACGTCAAGATCGCAATAGATTCCACGAAAACCAAACTTTAAAGGCTTGTCTCCTCTGCTAGTTGATAGATGGAATGAGAGGTAGTACTTTATCACGCACAAGCTTAGTGATGGCTAGATACTCGTCTACTGTTGCTGGAATTATATTTCTCCCTTGACGTTTATCCCTAGACTTCGAAATGCTATTAACGCCATTGGCTAGCAGAAGTTTTATAAAATGATTCTACTTCGGTTTTTCCCAGAAAACGTAAGAGAAATCTTATTAATTCGCCTAAGAGGAGGTGCAGCCGCGGAAGATAACTCGGTGTCGCTGGAGGTATTTCGGGCATTGAGAGAAGTATTCCCCATCTCTAAATTCAACGCTATCTTCTTACTCTCTATCAGAAATAATCTGTGTCTTTGTTACTATCATTGAAAATAGAGTATTTAGATATTACTAATAATTTTACTACTAAGGCTGATACAGTCAATATAGGCAATTTACAAAAGTATTATTACTAAATTTATTAATACCACTATTTCCTTTTTTTTCTGTACTATTATTTTTATTGTTACTATTATTAATGTTGTTGTTATTAATTTTGTTATAATTCTTTAAAAGAACTTTAATCATAAAAGCATTTCCTTCACTCTCCTCAAGGCTTCTTCTTTCCAAAGCTCAATGAGTATTTGGAGAGCAGAGCAAGGATTAACATAAACAATTTTAACAGGGGAATTTTCTATCGGCTCTTTTCGTCGTTTAGTTCCGTTTTTAACAGGAGACGTTTTTTCAAGATCAAGATCCTGTGACTTGAATTTCACAGTTGTCTGCTCTTTACGAAGATCCTAAACAAAAGCTCATAAATACGCAATTGTCCTGCGTAAGTCGGCCTCCAGAAAAGAGGAGCCCATTTTATTAAAAATAATCAACGAACACAAGCAGCAATTTAAAAAAAAATGAGAATGTCAGGACACCCTACCCTAGGAAACAGGTAATTGTTTATTAAGGCTCAAGCCCTAAAATTTATAACCCGCGCGGAAAGGGTACAGAAATGTTTTGTTCCAAAAAAAGCTATAACCATTTTTTAGTGTGCTTCAACTGTCTCCTAGCGGGTAATATCTCGAAGCCATGAGTTATAATATCAGCGAAAAACAGATAAATGAATTTAAAGAGGCTTTTTCTCTTTACGATCCGCAAAACCTGGGTGCTCTTCCCATTACAGAACTAGGTTTTTCCTTCCGCTACTCATATTTCGCCGTATATATTATAACGCCCTTTAATAAAATATTTTAATATCAGGAAAACTTATGCGCTCTGTGGGACAAACTCCAACTGAGAAGGAGGTACAAGAGATTATTAGAACTTTAAAAGAGGAGGGAAAGCAGACCATGGATTTCCAAGATTTTCTTCAAATAATGGCGAAAAACATGAAAGACTGCATTCCCGAAGAGAAAGTTATAGAAGCTTTTAAAGTTTTTGATAAAGAAGGAAAAGGGCTAATTAGCGCACAGGAACTTCGTCACATAATGACTTCCATAGGTCAATAATTATAACAAAATATGAAGTGCGTTTCCCATCTAAATTTTTAGGTGACTCTTAAAGTCTTACGCTATAGTTATTATAGTTGTTATAAGTTTTTAATAGCTAGGTCAACAATTGTTTTATGCAAATATTTAAAAAAAATATGATTCTAAGTTCGTTTTAACTCTAAAGGAGAAAAACTCACAGAGGAAGAAGCCGATGAAATGATGAAAGAAGCAGAAATTGACAAAAATGGAAACATAGATTATGCTGCTTTTGTTAAAAAGATGGTTAGCTTGTGAATCTAGCTGGTCCCAACACATTTTTTATAAAAAAAACCAGAGAATTTCATGCTTAATAAATGTTTTAAGGTGAAAGCTCTAAAAAGTTTTTTAGTTTATTTGAGGGCCTCGCTGCTGCCCTCAAGCCTTGGTCTTTTATCCCCACACTGTTCCAACTCGCTTTCTTCTCCCAGTGAACAAGCGTCATTCGCTGGTTCTTCTCGCGATTGACTCTTTGCTTTCTCTTGCAGATACCGAACGGCTTCCACAATCTGGTAAAGAGGTGGTCAGGAAAACTAAGAATCAAATATTAAGTAATGAGAGCGTACCGTCCCGCCTTTCATGAACTCAAATACTGCGGGGTTAGCTTTCGTTAATAAGCGAACGGCCCTAGCAACCCACACTGAGTTGTGCCAAAGAAGATACTCTTCCTCGATACAGGCTGCCCCAAAGCCCGGTTACCCACAAGATATCTGAAGGAGGCGCACAAAAGTTATACCGTCTTCAGAAACTTGTTCTAAGGCTTCCTCGAAAAATTCGTCAAAATCTGGCACAAAATTACTAAAAAGATCAGTGGCCAAGTGAATGGTGAAAGTAATAGAGGCAGGAAGATACTTCTTCTTAAGTTGTTCATAATTCGCCGCGTCCGTTCTTTTAAATAACTCACTCAGTTCTTTAGAGCCCAAAAACGAACGTCTGCAATAACGTTTATAAGCAGTCCGTTCTGGAAGAGCCCAGATATATACTTTCGCAGTCTATCCTCCAGCGTCTGCGTGCGGCGCTCCAAAAGCGGAAACGTTTTACTTTGCATATAACATGTTAGCGCTTTTTTTTCTTTAACTCAAGTTAAGTATACTTTTGTGCATCGAAACTAGGGCAGTTCTGCTCTTTCCACTCGCACCAAGCCTGTCTAACGATATAAGAACGGGGGGAACAATGCTACACGCAGGTTTAAGGGGCACCCGCTCTCTTTCTAACATGTGGGTCACCGTCCCACGACAGCTCTTCCCATGCTGGCGTATTTGGGAAGCCATAACTAGACAGCGCTCGTGAGTCTACCGATGAATAACTTAGTGCCAACGGAAATAACACTGCACAGCCGCAGAGGGGTACCTTTTTAACCCATTCTAAAGCCTCCGCCGAAAGCACAGCGGAGTGGCAAAACTTCGAGGAAGGGTTAAGCAAGAACTGGAAGAGAATAAGCATTTGAAAGATTATAATGGCCCTAAAGACGGGGTCTAATGGGGGTGGTAACCAAAGCGATTAACACTAATCCGTCAAAGAACCACCTTGTAATTGCAGGCCGATAAGACGGCGCGACGTCAAAAATTTAGGGTACATGGGCAAGGGGGTGACATCAATGCCAACCACATCAGCTTCGGGTGGCGTATTCACAGCCCTAAAAAATCCGTAGCCGAAAGGCAATTTGCGAGGAGAAGGAGGCTTAAAACCTCGCTTTTTCGTGGGATAACGTGTCGAGGACAGCAACAGCGCAATGCTGAAATTCAGCAAATTGGTGGGACTGATAACAGTTGGCAGGGGAGCTAAAGTAAGTCTGTAGAAGCCAAAACTTTTTGTAAAACTCATGATCCACAATCACGTGGCCATCCACGTCTTCCAGCTGCAGAAAAAACAAAAGTAAAAAATTCATATGGCGAAAAAGTTTTGAACAAAAAAAAAATGCCTTAACAATTGTTTCAGGCAGCTCATTCTTTTCACTGATCTCTGTAAATGGATGTCAAGTATATCGCAAAATAGGCAGAAAAGTCTAGTAAACCGCACCATCTTCGTCGCTCTTAGCATCAAAAATAGTGGTGTTATCTACATTAAATTCGCCGTATTTATTGACCCCTTGAATCGTTAAATGTTATAAACTGGGGCTCGAAGCATGGGAACCGGAAACCTGACTGCTCGGAAATGGGGAAAAGTTTGGACAGAAAAATCAGTACGCGACCACAAAATTCGGTGTGCTGGGTTTTAGAAAGCCTCTGCAGCAAAACATTACAGATTTTCAGCACCACGTGTCGGTCGTTAACTGAAAACTTAACGATGTATCAATACTACTCAAGTAGAAAAAAAAAGTAGTAGTACCTTGGGGCTGTTCCAGACGGGAAGGTAACTCTCCAGAAGAGTAAAAAGAGGCTCACAGACGTTTACAGGAAAGGCGTCGAAGAAAGAGGCCAGTTTGTTTACTACAAAAAAGGAAGGTAGAAGCTCGTCATCTATAAAAGTATTAGAAGTAGTTAATACTTGTTAAAGACGTTTAAAACGCCGTAATTTGCTGTGTAATAGCAAAAAGTTTATATACCATATTTATAAATATAAACAATGGATATTCAAAATAAACAAGGTTGTTTAAAATAATTCGCGAAAAGTAAAGCGTAATATTAAAACTGGACAGAAAAAGGGTATATTTTTGCCCACACAACCAAGACTGATTGTCATATTCTAAAAAAACTCCCAGGACTAATAGTCGAAATTATCAGAGAATAGTTAGTGAGTACTTATATTCGTATATACAATATACTCCAGTATTTTATTAAAACTTAAAAGTACAGAAAGGAAAAAAAAAAATTAAAAGCCACAGCGAACATAGAAGACCTGACCGAACACATTCTATAATTATTTTTAAAAAGTTTGTAAGTGCTCCAAAGCTGACAGGAAAACTTTCTTCTAAATCCTCTGAAATTTCCGTAAAGACGTATTTTAAATCTTGTTGTGCTTCACTTAAGCCAATAAGTTCTGCTTATAAGAGTCAAAGCACAAATAAAGAAAATATAGAAAAGGCAACCGGAAACACTATTAACAGAGGCAACCAATTTTTCTACCTTTAAAAGCGAGTAACATAATTAAATTAATAACATTGAAAAAGCAAAATAAAAAAAGTTAACTTATTAATTACATACTATTTTCTCGAAAGCCAAATCAGAGTTTACAAAGTCCCAAATGACAACCTTATAGGTAAAAAATATTTAAAAGTCAACTTAGCAAGGGGTCCAAGGACCTTTAGCTTGGTGCGTCGATTAACTATTTCTGTCCACATAGTTTTAATTCTTGCAGACAAGTGCCACGAAGACAAACAAAAAGCAACGATTCCATTAAACACCACCCTATCTAGAGTAGTAAAGTTCTTTTACAAGGGCCAATGTAATGTGCGTAGCAGGCGGATCAACGGGCGCTATAGGGTTTCTCAACTATATAGCACCGTAATCACTACGCAAAACGTTGTCAAAAATTAAAGACAAATACCTGCAAAAAAATTCTCTAGTTTTATTTCATTGTTCAAAATTTATGTATGTAAAATTGATTTCAGAAAGACTTTTGAAAACTTTGTTTTAGTAGGAAGCTACCTGCGAATTTTGTTTATTAATCTACAGTTTCCCACGCATTGGCTAATTAATACTAATAATGAAAAAAGAAAAAATGCGTAATACTCTTATATTAAAAGATTTATTACTAAAAGGTCTTTTATTTAAAATATGGCTCGTCGTTTATACCAACTGGAGCTGTTAATGACTCTGAGTTTATCTTAAATTTTAATTCTTGCAGTTATGACATTTTTTCACTACGTTTTAAGTGACGCAACAACACTACTTCAGGGTACCTATAATTATCAGCTTAAGTTGTACATATGTAACTAGATGCCGCCCTAATCACTAACATATGCACCATATCTCTTACAAGTCAAATTTTTTCTAGAATTTTTTTGAAATGTGCATATTCGACTTCTAAGTCACCAGTCTTAGCGTTTAGCATGTGTCCTCTACTATTAACCCCAGCCTCTTCTAGCGATATTAGTAGGTTCCCACTACACCAGTATTGATAAGAGTCAGCGACTTACCTTAGTGCTTAAGAGCATTAATAAAGCGTATACTCAAGTATGGGTTTGATATAAGCCGACAAGCACTTTTTGGTATGTGGCCGGGGGCTTGAAGTAAGGGACATCCAAGATCGGCTAAAAGCCCTTAGTTTGGATGTTGATAAGATGGTGTTAAGGGGGGCCTCAAGTTTACGCGTCATGCCTTTTACTGCTGAGCTACAGCGACGACTCTTCTCTATACAGGTAGGACGGCTTTCCGTGTTTGCCTGTTTTGAATCAATTTTTTTATTGTCAATTTTCAATATTTTTTTTTTTAAACAGTGTATGATCAATTAAATTGACTACTATAGCGAACTTCACCGGGATTTGAAGTTTTAGGGTACTCTCTTAAAGGTTTTAAAAATATTTAGTTAGCTGCACATTCGCACATATAGATTTTTTAAATAAATTTGCATATTGTGTCACGCAGCCGTACGCTATATATGGCTTATTCTTATGTATATGTAATTGTATATTAAGCTTAAATGCATACGTACCTTATCGTTTTGGTATAACTTAACTAAGCTATCAACTTTGCCTTTAACTATTTTCTTTAGCTTTTTTAACTGCCTTTTCTGCAATCCAAATATTATGTTTTTACAATATATTAATAGGCTTGTTGAGTGAAACACAATAGAGACTACTTTAATATAAATTAAACAAGTTGTGGTTGGTACTCAATTATAAGCAATTTTTGAGTAACATTTCGTTTTTATGGAAAATCAGTTTGTAAGCACTGTAGTCAACCGTAATCTTGTGAAAGAACTAGCCCAGATCTTCATTTGATGAACGGACTTTTAATTAACGTTCTTAACTTGACTAAAAGAATGATTTTATTTAAAAAACTTGTGCTAACCCTAGGTCAACTTTCGTTTTGCATGTTTATTTTGTTATATGCTCAAAATTATCTACTTAATAAAGAACGTGTTGACTAAATTGAATCTTTTTTAAATATTTTACTGATACCTTCCTTAACTCTACTAGTGTGGTATTAGTAACTTTATATCAGTACATAACTTTTAATCATTTTCTAATAGACGGGTGACCCTTACCACTTTGTAAAACTTGTTGCCCTTAACCCGAAAAGATAAGCTAGTAAAAAGTCAACTATAATATATACCACCCAGTAATTAATGAAATTCTCTAACTTTTTCTTTGGCGACATTAATTTTTATTTATTTCGTCTAGTGAGACTCTTTAGGACGACGCAATTTCACATTGTTAGATTATATATACCGTAATGATTTGGTTGTTTTCCGGTTAAAAAATTTAGTGTCAAAACTATCAGTACTGGATATTTTGAGGAATCCTGTCTCCTTGAGATGGCGTCCACCCTTTAGCGTAGTCAAATCTAGCAGGTAGGTGTAAGGTAAAACTTTTTTAGTACAGTAATTTTACTTAAAAGACATAGTAAACAAAAAGATGTGAAGTCTGGTATTGTAAAATTAATTTTACTATAATTATAAGCATTTGTGAGCTGTACACTGCATATACGTTCAATGTATACAATTACTTAAATCGCAACAGTTAGCCGAAAAAGGTACAATTTCTAACTCATCTCACTTCCATCACTCTGGTTTCAGTACTGGTTAGTCGGCATTAAAAACCGCTTTTCGTATGGCTTTAAGCGTCATTACACTCTAAGAAAAGAAAAAAAAATTATCTCCAGAAAAATTTTCAAAAACCAAAGTTAGACTAAATGATGCTTACCTGGTTATTCTGGACAGTGCAATGTTTACAATATATGTCAATGGCAATAAAACACCACAAGCTGCGCAGAACTCTTTAAAGTTAATGCATGTCTTAAGGTGGTGCCCTACTTTAAAACTTTAAGTAAAACATGAAATAAAGAACTAACACAACTGTTTAGTGCCTGCGCTCAAGTCTAACAGAAGCTAACGTGATAAGCATCTCTTGCACGTTCCTCCCGTAACAAATCCTATTGGTATGAATGCTCTAACTGTCAAACACGTGTATGACGTAAGTTCTGCTCCTAATGTCTAAGCTGGTTGCTTCTTTGCCTGCATTTCACGTTGAAAAAGTACTACAAGAGGATTCTGAATTAAAAAGCTGTGTTTTACTAGGCCACTTTAAGTTAAATGAAGTAGCTGGAAAGGAAGAGGAAAAAAAATGTATAGCCATACTAGAAAAACAACCATTTCAAACTCAACAATTAGATTCACTACTCAAATTTTTTAAAGAAGGTAAAGTTAAGATCCATTTTGAAAATGACATTTACACGAGCACCACAATTTACCCGGAAAATGAGATTTGCGAAACACAAAGTGATTACAGGAGTCCTTATGGTATAGTTTCACGCTTTATATATCCAGCAGATCTTCTTCATATAAAAAAGTATTCGTTTCAACCTTGTGAAATCATTGAAGAAACCAAAAAAGTTTATACCGAGGTTTCTTTGTTATACAAACTTAAATTCTTTTTTGAGCTTCTTTTATTTTCAATAAAAGGTTGTAGAAAACTTTATTCTAAGTCAGCTAGAGAGAATTCAGTGGGTTTACAATATAATGAAAGGAAAGGCTGAAAGGGAGAGAGTCTTTTATGAGGATAATCACTGTGTTATTCTCCCCGACCTAAAATGGGTTGATGAGCCCAATGCCTCCCACTTATATTGCCTGGGTTGGTATGGCGTAATAGCACTGCTAGGCTCTCTGTCCTACTGACTTACTTTTATAAGTGCTCTCGAAAGATAGAAATTTGCGTTCGCTGAGGGATTTACGCGGCTGTCATGGTAAGCATAGTGGAATTCCATATTTCACAGTTTTTATATTATAAGACTAGTACCAGTTTTAGAGCTTATTCATGAGAAGGCGTCAAGTTCCATAAATAGTAGGTATAAGCTACCTAAAAGTAAACAACTGGTACGCAAGTTACATACCGCTCTTTATTTTACGTTGCTCATCTATAAATATACTTATTCTTAGTTTTTTATGCACTACTGTCCGACTTATTACCAACTTCATATTCATGTGACGAACGTGGACAACCCCCACCGCGGTGCCAGCGTGGGAAGGGCGCATTTACTATCAACTGTTATCGAGAATCTTAAGTTATGCCCATTTTTCTATAAGGAGGCAACTTTAACTTACGTTTTAAGCACAGAGCACCCTCTGTATATCAGCATATTAGAATACGTAAAATCGCAAAGATAAAAAAAAGTACAAAAGCTGTACATTTGGTTATTGACATTAAAAAAATATCTTTATTTAATTTTTTCATTCTTCTATTCAGAAAGTGATAGTTGTAATATTGCAAAAGTTTAAGTTGAGCATGAGGTTATATTATTTATCTGCTAGCTTCTGAGACTTTTCTCTTGTTCAACTACAGTGTGTTTAACAGGTTTAGCTTTAATAAAAGCAAGGGAAAGTCACAAAACCTCGATTTGTTCGGGAGAGTTTGGCAGCCAGTACAATTTGGGCTCTACTTTTGTGACTTTAAACTTGGCTAGAACCGCTGTAGTCTCAGTCTCGTGTCTTTCCGATCTCAACAACTCCTTTCGAGAACGTGTAACTACTTAAAGTTAAGCAGTTAAACGGCCCTAAGAAGCAGCTGGCTTACCGTTAAGCTCGAAGCGAGTTTTCTTTTCTTCAACATCCCCTTCTTCTAGAAACGACGCCCTTAAAGGTTCCCGTTCCTCTGCAAAAGTCATATGATACTGAAAATAAGCTTTAAGGCGCAGAGAGCTAAAACCCGAAGGCCAGCGCTTTCCGTCTATTGTCATTTGAGCGTTGGCAGCAGAAGCAACTTCCTCATACTGCGAGTATAAAAATAATAATAATCTAAAACGACGAACTTGTTTACAATAACCTTGACGATGCAGTGAGACTTTCTATCGTCAATCCAAAAAGAAGATGGGTCATATTTTCCAAAAGAAGATAAAAAAAGTTTCAAGTCAGGAAGACGCAGAGGTCTTTTAAAATTTTCGATGTGGACGTAATTAAAGTTTCCGACGTCTCGAAAACAGAGAGATGCGTTAAAAAGGGGCGGTAAATAGGTTTATAGTGAATAAAATACTATTTTCCGTGCTGTAATCTTCAAGTCCGTCAGGCAACTCACGCTCCTGTTTCAATGTTCTTTAATAGGCTTATATGTATATAAATGTGACAACTTACCTCCATAGTCTCGACGATTTTCCCTCGTTTATGGTCAGGAGGGAGAGCGCCTAGTACAGTAAAAGGTTCGAATAAGCAAGCATAGAAAAACTAAGCATAGTTTAATTAGCTTTCTAAACTATAGCTGAAATAAAGACCAGAAGACAACTATAATAAATTAAAAGCAACTCTTTTCTACGCCTTTTGTCCTTTTCTCAGAAGATTCTAAACATTCTTCCTTTTCCTATTAGAAAAAGAAAGCATTATCGGTAAATTCATAGTAAAAACTGTAACTCTTAATAAAAGAGATAAGGCGGCGCACTTTTTACGAATTGATACCTTTCCACCAATTTTAGAAGAAGCCTCTGAAATAGGCTTAAACTCGGCGCTACAAAAGCTCAGTACAGAACTTGAAAGGTTATAATTTTTCAAGGAATTATCCCCGCTTTCCGAATAAACAGCACAAGACGAGATCTAAGTAAAACTAAGCTTACAAAATTATATATACACCCATTTATAAACTCTTATAGCAATATCAAGTACATCATGATGTCTGTTATCTCCTAAAACTTGTTTTTCTCCTTCTGAGTCTTTATCGGGGAGCAAACTTTCAGAACCCAGAACATTTTCTGATGAAATTGACTTACGGTCAAGTTCTTGCGAATCTGAAGCTACGTTAGAATTTTTATCTGTTTTAGGATCCGGAGAGTTTGACAAATGCTATAATAGTAACAAGTTCAACAACTCTCAAATAGAATCAAAAAGCTAATGTTGCCTGTAGAATAGCGTCAATGTAAAATTTTTTTGACTTTCTCGACTTCGGTAACTTAATATGTCGAGCCTTACTTTCTTCAATAAGTTCCGTAACTCTTAACTTCATAAGGTCTTCCTCGTTAACCGTAAGCTCGCGCATTTTCAACTAAAATCGTACAACAGGATATCTACCACAAACCAAAAAAAAACCTCCTCGACGACGGCTGACCTCAAGCAAATTGTGCAACTAGTTGCTCATGATTTGAGTTGGGGAAAAGAACGTGCTCGCAAGCCACATTATTTATTTGTTGAAAAGGTATAAATATTTGATGGTTACAGTTTATGTAAACTTTGCTTTGCCTCTCTCCCGTCTCCTCTATCAGTTCGTGTTTAACTTAAATTTTAAGCTGTCTTGTTCGCTAGTTACTCTCTAGTTTGCTTTTGCTATACTATCAATTTATTTACAGTAATGTTATATTTCTTTCGTTTGCACACCAGTAAATTATCCAATTTTAAATTGTTACCTTTTTTTTTTGTAAGCAAGTGACGACGCTATTTCTTTTCATAACTATATATGATGATAAATACATGCACCACCGTCTGATGCTTTTAAATTCCTGTCAGTTTTTTATAACCTACTAATTTATTTAGGCGCGTTGGGCGACTTTTTGCTATTTACTGTCTTCGCCATTCTCCTTTCCTTTGTCAGTGCATACTTTTTTTTTCTTTACTTCCATGAGCGTGATGACATGTTTTAATCCATTCTTTGAAAACTACTGGAGTAACAATTGCGATTTCGTGAAGTCTTATTACCCTCTGCACTTGTGGCAAAAAGTTTTTTTTTGCGCATATCGTAGGCATCTAGACTTGACCTTTCGCTTTTTGTTGCTTACTGAAGGTGGAATCTTAGAAGTGTTTGTGCTTCTTTAATTTTCACTCTTCGGTGTTTTGGGACTGAATTAACTGTCTGACTTTATTTTTGTTAACGCTTTTCTTTCTCACTCTTTGCTTCTAGGCTTTTTCTATTGTTGCCTGCGCTTCTGGGGCTCAAGGTTTTTAGTTATGTATAATCATAAAAATTAGTCTTTCTCGTGATGACAGCAAAGATAGGGACAACTGACGGGCATTATGCTGAGTTATATCTTATTAACATGGAGACATGTTATGTGACTGAAGTTTAGATTGTCACTAGCTTAAAACGATTATTATTATTTTTTAGTTAACTACTTTCTTTAGCAGTTGTCGATATGCCATTGAGATTTAGTTTTATGCCTGTATGGGAAGTGCTATCCTTTGCGTACCAGTCTTTTGGGTATGTTAAAATTTTTTTATTGAACCAAAGCTTGCTTAATTTTTGAATTCTTTGAAGTTTACGATTCCAGGTTTTTCTCTAAACTTCTGGGTGGAAGTTTTAGGACCGCAAACTTAAAGTAGTTAAGTCTGTGGTCGAAGTATAAGGCGGGCTACTTCAATACTGTAGAGTAGCATCGGCGTAAAAATGGGATACTTTGAAAGACTTGCTTTATAAATTTTTTGAGATTTTCAAAATAAAATTATTAATTTTAACACTGTTTAGCCTGTTCCATTATTTTTTGGAAGGAGTTAGCGTTATATACGAATGTATAATAGAGTAACTTGTTTATTATATAAATTTGGGGGGTACACCACTCCTTGCTGTACGTTTGCAAACATTTAATTATTAACTTTGAGAGATCAAATGTTAGTCTCGTAATCATAATTTGAGAGCAAAATAAGCTTTACTGTACTCGATTAATGTTGTTTTCCCTTCTTCTTTTCCGTCACAATAAAAGTTTTAACACATTCTTAGTCAATTTCTGGGTTCGCATGATTTGTTATTCTACACGAAGTCTTTGACAATTCTAAGAATTTTTATTGAAAAGTTTCCCTAAATTATAATTTTGGATTCTACCACTTATTAAATTGCCATTTAATACTATTTTTACTAAGATTATGACCTTCTTTATTATTTGACTTTTCTAGCTAAATTAACTATTAAAGGATTTATATAGTCGGTAAATAGTAGTTTGTAAGCCCCTGTAAACTATTATTCCTCCTTTTTATTTAATCTTTTACAGAAAAGGGGAAAACGTAAGCCAGTGCCTGCTTTTTGTTATTTCCTTTTCCCTTTTTCTTTCCTTCTTTAAGATAGCCCGGTCATACCTTTTAAACCTGGTCTGGTCTATAGTAAAAAACAACTTAAATGTTAATAAAATATCTTTATTAAAAAGGGAAGGTCGATTTGTTTATTCCAAAGATATGAGATTTGTCCTTTTTTAAAATTTGTTAAGGAAATTATTAAAATCATGTCCATATCAGAACACAAAAGTTGTAGTTTTTACCTCAATTACTTTAGAGCTGAAGCTTTTAACTATACTTTTTCGAGGAGAAGCTTTGTAGCCTATATTTTATTTTAACTAGTTCGTTAGCTTTATTAAGGTTAGGTTGTCATAAAATGGCCTATCGTATTTATTATAACCCTGAAAGAAAGGATGGCTAATATTATAAAATTTACTAAAATTTAAACACATACCTGGATTTTACAAAAAATTGCTAAACTAAGTTTACATAGCACTGTCCAAAAGTCGCCTGTATAGTAAAGAACCTAGGGCGACAACCTCGCTTCAAATAGCTGGAGGCATACCATGTCAGCTAAATCTGTGCGAGAAGTATGGCCATCCCATAATCACTATAAAATATAGTAGGCTGGTAGTATTATTACTTGTTTAAGTTCTGATAGGTTGAAATATATTATAGAGTAGGAAAAAGAAGAAATGCAAGTTAGAAAAACTATAGCAATTGTGACTTTGTCTTAAAGATTTAAATGCGTTATCGTTATAAGCAAAAACTAGTGCTTATTAAGCGGGAGAGGTGATTAAGAAATGTTAAACCCGTGTAAAATAACAAAATTAATCACATGAACTAGAAAAACATTAAATTTAAATACTTAAAGGCAAACGTAATATGTATTTTTTCTAAAAATTTTTTAATTAAAAAAACAAGAAAGCTAACTACCTAAGACCTGAGACCTTCCGAAAAATAGTAGTGTATATGGAAAGGAATTTTCGACATAAATTTAATACTTGGCAGTTATCATTTTTCTTACTATTCCGGATTATATAGGGAGGGCCCTTTGGAACTAAGGAAGGTAAACGGCTACGAAGTGGCACTTATGTTCCTAAGCCAACAACTTTAACTGCAACAGTTAGCCTCCGAATATACCACTCCCTCCCAAGAGAACTTTTTTAATAACTGCAGAAGCACTGGTTTTTACTTAGTGTTTGCTTATGATATACATCTTATTTGGAGGAGTAATCACGCTTCCTACCTTTTTTGAATGGATGCGCAAGGTCACCAATAGAAGGGGTTAAATATATTTGAAACCTTAACTGATGCTTAACTGCTTCCTTAGATAGGGCGTCAAATTCTTTGGAGTGGTGTTAAATGCCCGGTAAACAAGCAAGAAGTCAGCGAAAAAGGTACGCATAGTTAAAAATCTAAGATCCTCCTATTTAATGGATAAGTTAACTTGCACGCAGGAACTATAAAGCGGAAATTGCCGATCAGGTAAAACTAAAGTCTCTGGTGCTAGCGCAGCCTGATTTTGTAAGGCACCCAGCGTTTATGCCTTACCTATATTACTTGTAGGCGCTTAAGTTCGCCTTTTAAAAACTACACTCGGGCGATTAGGATTAAATACCTTCACACTTTTTAAAAAATCAAGTTTAAATCTTGGAAACTTGTATAGTCACGTGTGTAATAGCATTAAGTAAAGTTGACCGGCGAGCTTTATGAAATAGGAAATAAGCAAAATTATTGTTACAGCAATGCTATCTGAAAGGTTTTATTAAAAAAAATAATTTTTTCCCCTACAAACCCAGTTTGAAGAATTTTGCGTAAACTTTGCTGAAATTTTCCTTAAGAAATGTAAAACCATTTCTATTTATGAAAAAAAAAAAAACCTAAATACCTTTCCACATATTGAGTTAGAAAGTGAGCTCGGCCGACGAGATAGAATCTTTAAAACTTTGTGAGTTTTAACTATAGCTTGCGAACTGAACTAGGTAAAACATCTTGCAAGCTTTTTTAACCCATTTACGAAGAAGTCGTCGGACGAAACTCCTCACTTATCCAATTTATTATGTGACCTGCGCACTCCCTAGAGTAAGAGCTTTCAAGAAAATTGAGAAAACCTTTTAAAATATTAGTAAAGCTAAGAAGTTTAATACACTTTACAAAATATTGTTACCGTGGCAGCCTCTGCGAAATACTTTGAACTCGAAGTTAGTGTGACAAGAATAGAGCTTTTTGGCAAACTCGATCGAATCGTCTAAAAGTGGGTCAAATTCGCAAGCCGCAAGCCGGATTTTCGGTAACTACATAGAAGTTTAAGAAATATAAAAAAATGGAAGAATAGTAATACACTCGACAGCAGCTCCTCAGGTGCCAGTATGGGGGATAAAAATGGGTTGTCGTCTTCGTGGGGGGCATAAGACTTTAGACAAAGAATAAGAACGCTGGGCGGGAGTAGCGGGTCTATTGCAGAGAGACACCGCGACGGCGAGAGAAGATCTTTCACCAACAAAACAGGATAAACCGGGATAACGGAGTCAGGGACGCGGATACCGCAGCAGGAAGCTGCAAATGCAGTTGCTGCAAAGAAAACAAGTGAACCTTTGAGAGACATCAGGTAAAGAGAGGTCCTACACAACGCCAAATTACCGCCGGCTGAGTCTCCCACAAATATGACACGTCGGCCAAGCGTACCAAGCTTTTCAAAATTTTGTAAACACCTAATAGACATAATTGTACGGCATGTATTGCGTGGAGCACGCACAACGTTTAACCAAATATATACAAAGAAGCAATCGTGAATAGCGGCCGGATAAGGCTTCTCCGGTGCTAAGGAGTAATCTACCGACACTATCGGGCATTTAAACATTTGCGCCCAGTCTCTTAAAAATGCCTAGTGTAAAGAAATAAAGCGAAATGTAAGTATGACATAAACGTCTATCTTCACTGTTTCTACCTCCGAAGTAAGGGAGGAGTGAGCTATGAAGCCACCGCCATGGAAATGAATGATCAAATTTTCAGCTTTATCTTGAGAAAAATTTGGCTTGTACTTATTAATAAAAGTTTGGTAGTCTTTTATATGCTTTTCGTCGAAAATCTGTCCAAAGAGCCACTCATGGGAAACTAAACGAAAGACGACAACTTCAGATTTCAAAGGATAAAAGTATTTGGCTTCCTCAGAGTCAGACCGACATATATAACTGCTAAGTATTATTTTAACTTGGTTAAACTGTCGGTCAAGAAGGTTGAAGAAAGAAGAAATACTGCTAAAGCATAGATGCAATAGGCTTTTAAAGGACATACAACTTACTTGATAGCATCCTTTCTTAACGTAATTAACTTGTTAACCTTAACATATGGATGGGTAAATTTGGGGCCAAACTATAGTATGTATTATTTAAAAGAATAAAAAATCGTAGCATTCAAAAAAAAATAAAAGCTGAAAAAATTTTAAAATATTTTTTTAATTAGTATTACTTAAATAACCTTAAACACAGTCGTTTCAGTTAAGTTCCAGAAGTTTCGCCAAAAGTTTAGATCCATATTATTACGCAGCGGTGTCTTTTGTCGCCTATTAAAAAAGCGCTCTATTGACGAGTAAAAGGCTCCTTTAAGTTGACTAGATCCTTCTACGGTATCGTTATTCTTTTGCAAGATCCTTAAAGACCATGTAATAACTTTAAACGTTCTCTTTAGGGAGTGGTCAAACTACACAGTGTGTTCCTGTAATATTCCTAACTTGATTCAACCAGTTTTAGATAGGTACCTGGAATCCCATATTGCTCTCCAAAACGTTTTCAAAATTTAAAGAGTTTATGAAGTCCACGAGTTCAGAACTTTTACCGGAAAATAAGGTACCTGGAAGCCAAGACTGTGCATAAATAATTTCAAATAACGTTATAATCAAAGACAAGAGCTCCACTTTTCGATTAAAGACTTGTAATAAAGACCCAAAGGATGAGTGAACTTTATAATTAGCAGGAGAAAAGGCCAAAATAGATTTTTTAAAATCGATTAAAACAATCTTAACGACAGAAAATAGACTTCTGAATCCGTTATATTGACAGGGTGTAGTAGGATCATTTCTAACCGCTAATAAGTAAAAACAAAGGGAGTGAGACTATCAATAAAACAAACCACTATGTAACTTACCAAATAATAATAGTTTATCACTTTTACACTTTAGAACCTGTAACCACGCTTCAACTGGCTTTAGTGTTTCCAAAAACCGGCTCAAGTTTTCTTTCTCAGAAAGAAATGTATGCAATTTAAAAAGTTTTAGAAAATTTGAACTTCTAGCTTGCTGAATAAAAGTTGGATCAATTTCCCAAAAATCACTTGAGCTTAAGTCTTTCCCTGAGGCTGTAATCTTTTTACAGAGTTGATACAACTCATCCAATAATTTTAAGTACTCATAACCGTCTAGAACATACCACGCATCCTGAATTTCTTGAGATTAAAGGTAGATAAGAAAAAACTTATTAAATTAAGTCAGTAACACTTAACCTATTGTGTTATAGTGGAGGTCACTTCTATAAAAGCTAACTAAATTGGAATTCATGATCTTACCCTATTATAAAACATCGTTAATAAATACAAACTGTTCTAAGTAAAAAATATTTTTCGCCATTTTTATAGGCACTAACTTTGTCTTCTGATTCTGATAGAGGTAGAGCCGAAAGACAATTTAAAGGGGACATAAACAAGCATAGAATAGAGTTTACGGTACTCAATACTCATTTCCGAACCGGCACCGCTACTATATAATTTAGTAGTCCAAACAGTATCTTGTAAAATGCGACACTAATAAATATAGTAACCAGTACTGTTAATTGATAAGATAGTAAAAGTATATCAGGCAATTGGATAAACGAATACTAATTAGTTAAAACCGTTTTTAGAAAATGCTGTGAAAAAAAGGTATTTTAGATAAAATATTAAAAAAAAAAATTATAAGTATTGAATCATTAAAAATGGTTCTTAATTTTTGCGTTACTTTTTTTATTTTTAAAATTTTAATTTTATAATAGTACGTACTTTCCTAATAATTTATTATAACTCGATACTTCTGCTTTTATTTGTAAATAGATAAAAATTATCTTTCTTCATTTTTGGGGGCAGAGAAGGTAATGGGGTGAACCAGCTAGAAAAAGATGTGAACTGAACCGGTAGGTTAAAAACTTTATATTAATAAGCTCTGAGTAGTTACCCGATCTTATTACCCCTTATTTTATGAACGCATAGCTTTTATTCCCATTATAATTGGTTGCTATGGTAACCAACAATGTTAAAAAAAATTGGTAGGTATTTTGTATATCTACTGGCCACTAGGGATGCAAACGTGATCCGAGAGGGGATTTGCGATTGAAAACTAAGTTGTAGTCTTTTAATATTTTATTAATCAATTTTTGCAGACATCCTAAAAAACAATTTAAGATTCTTCCATTCGTGATTTTAAATATTTTTTTTCTTATGACGTGCTTATGACTCATAACACCAACATGTTCTGTTTAGTCTCGTCTGTCACTTTTTGTTAATAAAGCCTAGTATGCGAAAACTCACACTTTTGCTAATTTTCGATATTAGATGATAATTACAATAGAACGATAATTGCTGCCATATAATCTTAAAAACGATGATTAATTTTGTGTCCTGAGTCAGGCGCAGTTCTAGTATATATTTTTCTCGTAAAGTTCAATAAATTTAATCTATTTCGTTTTCCTCCTTCCCCTGTCCCACTTGTTTTTTTTTATTTTAGTTGAGACCGTTCAGGTGGTGTATCCCTTAATTATTTGACATTCACTTAAATTAAACTTGTACGACGAGTGAAAAAGAAAAGAAAGTACTTACTTTGAACAATTGGTTTCAGGCCCGACATCTCCCTGGAACTTTTTTCTGAAAAGTACGGATAAAAACCTGCGAAGCGCAAAGAATGTTCCGGAGTTAGAAAATTAAGTGCTAGATCGACAAAAGGATTACATACTCTTGAAAACCGTTCATAACATCGTTTTAAAAATTACAGTAATTAACACCGTCTAGTGGTTTGAAAAGGGACCGAACTTGGAATAAACAGAAAGACGATTTTTATGGGTCTGACATTATTAGCTCAACCAAAAAAAAAGAATTTGGTGGAATATTCTCTATCATATAAGAACGAAAGCACTGAGATGATATCGAATGGTTGCATTAGATGGTTTTTCATTTAAATCTTTTAATACTTCGACGAAGAAAGTACACATTAAATCAGGGCACAGTTTACTGGATTCAGCCCATACTGTTAGAAACATCGTAATGAAATATTGGAAATTCAGTTAAAAATAGGATAATTGAGGAATTCTTGCATGGCATCGCTAAAGTCATAGGCAATTTCCCCCTCCATTCTTTTTTTTAAATTGTACTAATATCTTTTTTATCGTAGATTTTCATTAACTTTAGACGAATGAACCTCAGAAAGTAACCGACGCTGCTTAAATGTAAACGTTTCATTACGATTTTAGAAATCAAATCATATACACAACTTAGGACTCACTCGGAAGAGAAAAAAATTCCTGTCGAGAATATTATCAAAATTTTGGAAATTAAATTAAAGTCAATTGATTTGTCGTTCGAAAAAGATATAGTAGCCTTTTGTAATGTTGGTGCTAGTGTAATGATAAGAATGGGGAAACTCTCAAATGCAGAGCTAGTTGTCGGTTAGTTAAAAATTTAAAAATCATTTAAAAATTTACTTAGTTTAAATAAAGATTTTTGTGTCTTTCTTGTAGAGCAGCAGCTGTGTTATCTTCATGGCCTCCAATTAGTAGTCTTAGATGTTCTTTACAAAAAAAAACGATAAAGTGGAAGAAGAAATTGTAACTGAGACTGAAAGTGAATAGGAGGATTCTTCCACAGATGAATCGGGCAGGGAAGCCTTAACCGAAGTTAAAAACGAAGAAGTTTTTTAACGGAATTAATAGATGATTATAAAGAAATAATTAACAAAGTGCGTAAAGTTGTAAAGCTGATCAGGAAATCATTAAAAAATGATATTTATTTGCAAAATAATGTAAAAGATCAGTTTGAGGGAGAATCAAGTTTGGAATTGAATTTTAAGACTAGACGGAGTAGTCTACACAATGTGGTAGAAAGATTTTTAAAGCCAAAGACCTGTGTTTCATAAGCATTTATAGAGTTGCATAAGGAAATAAGCTTTTGTAATTTGGAATGGCAATTAATATATCCTTAGCGCACTTGAGCGGCCGCCGAGGTTCTTGGCAGGCGCAGCGCGAATTTACTAACAGCAGAAACCACTCTGGAATTTTTAGTAAAAAAATTGGATTAACAAAAGAATAAATTGAGCAGTGAATTATCTACAGCGATTAAAAAAAAGGGTAATTGAACGAAGGACTGTACTACTGACGCCGGTTGATTTTCCTTCATAATCCGAAAGCGTTTAAAAGAAAATATGTTGACCCTACGGTTTTTACTTGTCCATCGCAATATATTATCCGGAAAACAATAGAAAATTTTGTTAGTCGTTTAAAATGTGAGGACGAACGTCAACCGAAATGCTGAGGATGATGACGCCAGGAAAATAATGAAAAAATCCCAAAATGCAGAATTTTTGTCGATCAAGGAATTGCTTGATATGGCTATTGCGAAAAATCTTTCTAAACCAGAAATTAAAGTCGAACCGAAAAATTTGGATGCAGTCATAAAGGAAATAATACAAGGGAAAAAGGTCACCAGCGAGGGGAAAATTTAGAGATGGTGCATCAATACCTACCTACGATTCCACCTTCAGGCATCAAGGCAAAACAAGCTATACTTTAGTACAAAATTAAGTATTCTATGAATGATGACGCCTCGGACTTATTAGTTTTTTTAAAATCCAATTTTTGAAATTAATTTAAGCACTGAAAAAAAATTCAATTAGTTTTTCGATTTTTTTTTGTGTAATGGTTGGAAAGCCCTCAATCGCCCCTACTAACAACCTACTCTTATTCCTTTACTTTTTAAAGTAATGCTGTTTTTAAGTTCGAAGTTCTACACACTCATAGTCTTTAAGTTTTTGTAATGAATTACTAAGTTACATATTTGTTCGTTTACTTTTTACTAATTTTGCTTTTTACATTTTATGAATTTTTTTTCATTGCATCTAATAACCTTGAAGAGCATATATATGAAGCCTTCTTTTCCAATAAAGTTATGAGCTTTTTTTGCTCTTCTTTTGTTTGTCTCTTGTTCTCTCTCCCTGCGCTAGCGGACCGCTAGCCGTAAAGAAAAAATTAGTTTTTTGTTAAAAGGTTGACAGCCAAGGGCTCTGAAGTAATTTTTTTTTGTGATACATTAGCTTTTTCTTCTCATCATTCCCATAAGGAATGAGTATTCGAAAGTTAAAAACTGAAGCAAACTGGGCCGACTGGGGTATGTATTTTATCTTACTTAACCACCAATATGAACGCCATTCTTGCGAGGTCATAACTCACACGCGATGTAGGAATAGTAGATAACTTTGTATAGCTTAGCCTACAATAATTATTACCACTGACCTATATTTAATGAACATAGAGTGAGAAATTCGAGGTACTGAAAAGATGGGAAGTGGAATGGTACCAGAATTTTTGCTTGTAGGGAAGTTGTATACGTAACCACCAGATCCGAAAAAAAATGCGAGTTGGCACCGGGGGTAATCGAACCCGCGGGCTTGAGAATGCGCGGCGATGCTCTAATCACTGGGCTACGGCGACAACTAACATCTTCGTCGATAAATTATGAATACAACTTTTGTTAAATGGAACCAATGCAGCTCTGGAATGCTCTCTATAACGAGTTTAAAGTTATTACAAAGAGTATGCTTCTTGCCTTAGAGGAAGAATTATCTAGAATAAGAAAAGGATGAAAATGAAGCTATTAGAACAATAATGGGTAGTATAAACCTATTGAGCTCCAGGATAGAGCATCAGAATAATTTAGTCAAAATTAATGACTGGATGAAATTAGTTAGTTATCATGAAACACTTCTAATGACGGGACATGGGCCACCATTAAGCAGAACTTTCTTATGTAGCGGAATAGGCCAGGTAAAAATTTGCTTAGAGGTTGTCGTTAATTAGCACTATCATGGGAGGTAACTATAAGCCAGCAAGCTAATCAGAGTTCGTCCGATGATAAGGACTTGAGAGCTCGTTATTCAGAATTCTTTATGAAAGAAATGATAGGGAAGGTGAAAGTCCTGTAAAATGCTCTATGTGCGGCAAGCGAGACCATATTAACAGATACTACAAACGCATACAAAAGAATAGCTTGAAAGGCTGGGGATACTAGTAGACAGCTTGTCAATTTTGATTTAGGAGCGAGTAGTCACAATACCAAGGACAAAGAATTAATTAAACACTATAAACCTAGTAAGGAAAGGATATTGGGAATAAGTGGCATATGCCTGCTTTGGGCACTGTAGAGTTAAAAAAGAAAAATTTTTACGTCCCGAGTGCGTATGGAAATCTGATTAACGTTTGACAACTTTATAATTATAAACTTCTCATCTTTAATATCAAGCAAGGTATAGAGTGTTTATGAAAGGAATGATATAAAGAAGGAGCTTATTAAAGAAGCAACGCCGGAAACGTCTGCCTTAAGAGATATTAATAATTTATTATGTTAGTGAGAGCAAGACGCATAAAACACTTGGAGATAAAAGACTGGGCCGTACAAAGGAAGGAAAACTAAAGGAACTCTTTTGAAGGTGTGGAACAGATACA